CCAATGTGCTCTGCACGCGTGGGTTCGAATCCCATCCTCGTCGCTCCCATTTTTTATGTTATTTTTGTCACGATTTTTTTTTTTTACAATTAAACTGACAACTAACAGCATCCGTCACGTGCAACTACGATTTTAATGTTATTCTTCCAACTGAATCCACGTCTTCGAAATTGCTTTTCCAAGAGTATTTTATCTGTCTAAACTTAATCACCCTAATAATATTAATTATGGAATAAAAGTTAAAAAATATATTCTGATTATTTTATGCAGTGGACTGTAATAATTAAGGATCGATTCAGACCAGAAATGTGACAGGTGACATAGAAATAGATGATAAACATATGTTTATATTATGTAGGAGCTTGGATGACTAGGTCAATATAGTGACTAGGTTACGGGTTGGATGACCACCCAGTGCACACCCTCCAACCCCGTTTATTTAATATCCTTTATAATATTACCTTCCCATCTATGCCTGTGCCTTCCAGGTGGGGTCTGTTTTTCAGAATATTCGACCAAAATATTGTACGCAATTTTTATTTCTTCCATGAGTCCTGCACATCTCGAAAATGCTATTTTTTTTTATTTCGTAACCCCTCCCTCCCATTATGACTGGTAAGTAGTGTAAATTATGAAGTTCCTCATTATGCTATTTTCTCCGCACTGCTATATTTCCTTCTTCTTAAATTCAAATGTATTTGTGAGCGCCCTCATCAAAAAAGTTCTCAGTAGCTAGGGTCTATCAATTTAAATTCCCGACAGCCAATCAATAAGCCTTATTTCTTCACACCCAAGTAACAAAAAATCAGTTTTTTTGGGGGGGGGGCGTGATAGCTTTTGAACAAGATATTATAGAGGTAATATAGAAATACTTCATCTTAGTATTTCCTTCTCCACCTTATTAAAGTTCGTACCTCACAGGAAACACATTACATCTCTATATAAAGACCAACCGGTTAATGCTGCTTAGGGAAAGAATTCAAATTCTTACTCTTGCACTATATACAAGTCCTCTGTCAGTCCAGGCTTTGCAAAGCAGATCACGTCTATCTTGAGAATTTTATGCTACAACGGCAGCTTAGTCACGTGAACGGTCGTAACCTTGACCGCTGCCAAGTTTAAGACTTATATTTTCTATGTCCGGTTTCGCCTTGTCCTATGCTGTGAACATGTTCGTCTTGGCATCAAGCCCCTTGAGACCCACGACCAGAGATTTTTCTTTTCAACTCACAAGAAACACGTCTCCTTAACGCAGACCAACCGGCTAATGCTGTCTTGAGATATAATCACTGTTTATTGTGAGGATCTTACGAAACACATAAATACACTTTGTGGGGCAGAATGCAGAATTTTTGTATGTTAAAGCAGCTTGTATGTACCACTGGTTTTGAAAGTGTTCTAAATGCATTAACGTACCAAATAACGTTAACAGAGTACTGGCAGCCGATTACATAGGATGATATCCGCATAATTAACTGATAACAATTGTTCAAAGAATGTTATTAAGCTTTTTGCTGTCTCTTTAACCCTACAAGCGCCACGTATCGAAAAATTCGACTGTAACAATATCTATATTTCTAGTATCACAGCATGTGATATATCTCGAAATTTTACCATAAGCACATAGTCAAAAAATATATGGCCAAAATTCATCTCTATTGAAGTTCTGTGTGACTTCTTATGGGACATTGTAATTCACGCAGTTGTGCCAACCTAACACTGCGATGAGGAATTGTAGGGTTAATGCATGCAGTTGCCTTCCTGCCTGCCTGCCTCCCATTGCATCACTCACAAGTCATCCTGCCAATATATAATAGCCTGAGCTCTTTCTTGAGGAGCTGACAGTTGCTTATCTGGCCAATAAATTCTCTGCCTTTTGTGGATTGAGAAGGTTCATTCCTTGTATATAAGAGCACGAAAATGGACCTACTCCTAAGCCCTCTGCAACATAATAAAGTACATGGAATTTTGAAAATCCTACACACGTCATGTAGGTAACACCTCATAACCGTTTTTTTATATCTTCTCAGAATAAACTAAGGTGTTGACAGGAACCACTCAGTATGACACCATGCCGTTCTCCTGTAACGATTAGATTGCCTTATCGCGTACTAGATAACTATTCTGTACAGTCAACACAAATACACAACAGGTACATTTTATCCCTTGTACAGTATCGTTTAAGTTTAAACGTTGCTTAATAACGCGTTTGAAACTTGTTTAGTCAATTCTGTGGAAGAACACAGATTTGGGGTATAAAGAGTATGATCTTCTGGGTTGTAACGCCGTTTATATGGGTAGAAATTAGCTACACGGCGTTACTATCCCGAAAATCTTACCCTACATCCTCAAATACAAAGAGATACGGAGTGTGTGAGAAAGATATTTGGGCCTAAAGGAAATGAATTAACAAAAGAACGAAGAAATTACATGCCGAGAAGTTCTGTAATTCGTGAGCCTCACCGAAACTTGTTCACTTGATTGGATTAAAAGAAGATGGTATTCACGCGTAATACATATGGGAAAGTCAACATATTGTGACCCACAGACCCATGGTTAGGCAACGTCTCAATGAACCTCAATCATAGGGCCAGGTCCTCATGTGAGAGGGAGACACCTACTCTGTTGGGTCCCTTAGAAAGAGCTAACCTCAATCACAGGGCCAGGTCCTCATGTGAGAGGGAGACACCTACTCTGTTGGGTCCCTTAGAAAGAGCTGACCTCAATCACAGGGCCAGGTCCCCATGTGAGAGGGAGACACCTACTCTGCTGGGTCCCTTAGAAAAAGCTAACCTCAATCATAGGGCCTGGTCCTCATGTGAGAGGGACACACCTACTCTGTTGGGTCCTTTAGATACAGCTAGAATAAGGAACAAGGGACAAAGTCCAGAATCCCAGTAATTTTGAGGAAGAATTCAGGGGTTCAGAGAGAGAGGAACCGGTTGGAAGATGTTCATTCTCGCTGTCTTTACTGTTGTGGGACCTCGTGGTGCGTGCTGACCGCTACTCTGAACACTGTACTTCCGAGAAGCCTGACGACAGAGCACCTCTTCACACACTCTTCACTTTGATTGTCGCCTGTAATATGCTATATGCGACAGACATGTTTCTATGGGTCATTTCGCACAATGACGAACAAAATGCAGGTTATTCTTGAGGGCAACAGATCGTACACGAAGCGAAGCTTTAGAATTCAGAATATCTCGAAACTTAATTTATAATTAACAATTTAATGACCTTATGTAACCCTGATTAAACTGTAGTGTATAAATTATCTTTTCGCGGCAACAATGTGTTGGTAGCACTCTGGAAGTCGGGCATTTTAGTTCAGATATACGGCTCAATTTCCTGCACTTCTCCTTTGTCGTTTAGAAGCATTTAAAACTGAGGAACGAATTTAATTGGCCCATCTGCCTTGCTGACGTCATGCGTACTTAGAACACTTGTTGTCCTCATGGAAACAAGCTTCTACAAAAGTAAAAAAATGTAAAGCTATCCCTGTTAGTGACCGTAGAGACCCATAGGGTTGTGAGACGTTGAGGCTCCCATTTTCTAGACAATAGGCTCACAGATGGCGGTGAGGTGGTCAGCCCTACGCGCCGGCCGCCCTTTCCCCCCCAGCAATATTCCTGATACTCATTTCTGTTAGAGGCTCAGTCGACCCCAGGGCGATAGTGCGGCTGGAAGGATTAGGTCAAGTGAAAAATCAAGGTACCCCATCATGAATCGAACTCGCGACATTCCGGCTTGTAGCATAGTGCCTCAACTATCTACGTTATCGCGTGCCCCTTTTTTTATAAACGAATCTAATTTAATGTGTGTTACAATTTTAAATTTTTTTTTACACCCGTGCTCTTAATTTTATCCTCCATCTTATTAAATTAAAGTATTAAATTATCACTTAAGATATCGTCTAAAATCTTCACGCTGCCTAGTGTCGCCCTTTAAGGGCGGTTTGGTAAAGGCCAAGCATGCTCAGTGGTCGGGGATATGGTGATCTCTGAATAGGGGTTGAATTGCATTAAAGTGGCTTAAAACGCAATCTGTGTCACACAAATATGGTCCTTAAAGACATGCTCTTTGAACAAGAGTTGTATTCTGACAAGTTTCACTGTAATTAGTCATTGAATCAGTGAAGGAGTTACGTAAGTAAGCAAACCAATTACTCAGTGAACCTAGCCAGCCAATTAGCACGTTAATCAGTCAACGAGGAAGCTCGAACTATTAATAAATCGAATCTGATTCACTAATATCATGTAAAAGCGACCGTCATCTTTGCTCGACTCAAGAAATGTGACAGAGGTACCCAGGAAAATCTAAATAAACAAATTAGCTTGAATTTGCAGCATCTTAGTGAACTAAAATCGATTCGATTTAACGGGATTCGATNCTTAGTTAGTTAGTTATTGGAGAGGGTGGGTTTCCCCATGCACCGCGACCAGTTTGATCTATTGTGCTTCCCTCTATGATATTCTACCAGTCTCTATACCCTACCGATACTGGTGCTTACCATCAGTCCCGACCAAGCCAGCGAGTTCGGCCTCTACTAGCTTGGCGGTATCTATAATGCTTCCCCCATCTATCAGAGGCGTTAGAGACTACTGTTGGGCGGGAAATGTCCTTGAATTTGGCTCAATAATCTCCTTAGGAGATATGAGGTTCTTTTACGTGCCGTAACGCTACGACACGGGACCCACGGCTTAAAGTCCCTCCCGGAGGACTTGTTCCCTGAATTTTTCCGCCCTTAAAAATTCCACGACCTCCGCCGGGTTTGAACCCGCGTACTACGAGTCATGAGTGCCAGTAGCCTTAGATAACACGTCAGTCAAGAAATTATCAGATTTTGCAAGAAACTGTAAATTTTAAAATCAAATTCGACGAACTGCAATGAATTAACGCGGATGAGTACTGTATGTTATCTCCCGTGAGTAATGTACCGAGTTATATCTTCTTATCAGTCACGCGTTCTGATTAAGAGAACGGCTCGTTACGTTGCTTCTTCGGCGATGCGGAGGCAGAAGGTGAGAGTGTAAGCATTATAATCTCTGCCGTTTTACCTCAACGAAAATTACGGTCTGATATTTGTGCCACAATTTGCTGTTGTAACGCGCCGATCAGCTTTAGGATACAGTTTGGGCCTGCTCATGGGAGGTAAGTAATGTCTAATGCATTTTTACAGATAGTTTTTGTTAATTTCTTTGCAAAACGTGGCCAAAATGAACGTATAATGGGAAGTGCTTGTGTATATTTCATCTCAGAAATCGCTCAGCGCATGTAAATAAACTTTCAAGTTGTGGGCTTGTATCAATATTTGATAGGGGGAATTAAATTTCGATTCGTATCGATTTTGAAGGTCTATGACGTAATAAATTCACGTAGCTCAAATATAAAATTTTCTCTACAAGTTTAATCGCATAAGAAGCCAGTAATGAGTAAATATAGATATCATTAATATAAGAGAGACATGGAGAGCTCAGTCTATATAGTGATGGCCTACAAGTTTGACGGTCGGGGTTCGATTCCCGGCAGAGCGAGAAGTATTTCTCTTCTCCGCAGCGTCGAGACCGATTTTGGGGCCCAATCGGCCTGCTCTCCAGTGTGTGCAGAGAGGTCTTTTCTTGGGGGTAAATTGGGCGGAGCGTGAAACTTGACCACTCATCTCCATATATTGTCGACGTGAAGAAGGACGGAGCTACACCACTCCTCCATCATACAGCTTCATGACGGTGTGCTTAACTGATGAGGCACTGGAACAACTTGCCCATCATACAGCTGATCACAGACCTTTCATTTTAAATACTGTATTCAGATGTCAAGAATACTGCCTTCTCGGTGTGAGGCCTTGCAATGTAGTAAAATTGAGTGATGTCTGATGATGTTCAAACAAACTCCGTGGTTTTAGTCTGCAAGCGAACTCTATCGACCGCCTCTGTGGTCTAGTGGTTTGGGTTCCTGGGTTCGATTCCCGGCGCTACCAGATTTTCTGGGAAGTAGTGGGTCTGGAATGGGGTCCACTCAGCCTCGTTAGGATAATTTAGGAGCTATTTCAAGGAAATAGCGGCTTCGGTCTAGAAAACCGAGATAAACGGCCGTGGGGATTCGTTGCGCTGAACACGCGACACCCTCTATCCGCTAAAGTTGGCACTAACTTCGCTGACAAGCGGCGGTAGCTCGGTCGGTATAATTTAATGATGTTCAGAGTAGAAAATTTAATTTTATTCCTCTTCCTTGAAGACGAATGCAGCACATTCCTCCGAAAAGCCGGTAAAGTTCTGCCAGACTACACGGCGTCACCCCAGAAGACAACGATCTTCATAGACACACATTTTTTTATATGACAGAACCCTATTCAGTGACACGCCTTTTTCCATAGACCAAGATTGTACAATTACGTAAGGCAAAGTCCCTGTAATTATTTAAGGACAAAGCCATGAAGGTGTATGGGGGATTGTAGGTATAGCTCCATAACTTTTAACCTCAACACTAGATATAGGAGAGTCAGCTTCAGGCTCCTGCCACTTTATCCCCAGGTGCGAACTGTGTAGGAGAATATGTCCGCTCCAGAGTCGATCTCAACCCTATGGAGAAGAGAAAAATCCCTTACATCAGCCGGGAATGGAAACCAGAATCATCGGTGTACTGGCCCGCAGCTTTGTTCCTATAATTTTCTACTTGTGTGCAATTTCGTGTTACGGTAGCAATGAACTAGTTAACACACTGCACGAACGTAAGTTACGCAACAGGTTGCAAATGAAACAGCAGCCTTTTGTTTCTGTGTATCGTGTCTATTATGTGAGTACTGATAATATTTCTATATGGATATGCAAGACGTAGTATAATATGTTAAGGAAACGGTTTATGGTTCACTATTTGTGGGTGTTATTCGTGGGATACGGCGTTAAACCTCAGTCTTGACACATCATTCCATAACATATAGGACTGAAAATGAATACGGGAGAAAATGGGGGAAATAAATAGTGTGAGATTGTATACAAGTGATATGGCTTCCCGCTGAGATTTAGAAGTATACGCTAAAAGCATTATATATATAAAAAAAACTCCGTGATTTTAGTCCGCAAGCGAACTAAACCAACCGAGCGACCGCCGATTGTCGGCGAAGTTCAATGCCAAATTTTGCGGATTGAGGATGTCGCGAGGTCAGCGAAACGAATCCCCACGGCCGTTAATTTTGGTTTTCTAGACCGGAGCCGCTATTTCCTTGAAATAGCTCCTCAATTATTCTCACAAGGCTGAGTGGACCCCTTTCCAGACCCACTACTTCTCAGAAAATATCTGGTAGTGCCGGGAATCGAATCCGGACCTCTGGATCTGTAGCCAGGAACGTTGACCACTAGACCACAAAGGCGGTCCGCTAATAGCATTATAACAGTCATTAATGTAAGTTATTATTTTCGAAGCCTCAAGACCCACCCAAGTAGTCCGTGAAGTCCCACAGGTTGAGAAACACTATCATAAAGTACAGACCATTAGCTAACTTCATGGAGCTGAGCCTTTCTTCAGAAGCTGCCAATTGTGCAGCTACTCAAGTTCTTCCCAAAATTTTATGGAACCCAAAGGTTCATTACCGTGTTCACAAGAGCCCTCCACTGGTCCCAATCCTGAGCCAGATCAATCTAATCCATAAAACCTCGTCCTTTCCATCCAAGGTTCATTTTAATATTATCCATGCACCTATGTATTGGTCTTCCTAGTGGTCTCTTTCCTTCTGGCTTTCCCACCAATATCCTACATATATTCTTCTTCACCCCCATTCGTGCTATATGCCCTTCCAATCTCATCATCCTTGACTTGATCATTCTAATTATACTTGGAGAAGAGTACAAGTTATGAAGTTCCCCATTATGTAGTTTTCTCCAACCTCCTGTCACTTCATCTCTCTTCGGTCCAAATATTCTCCTCAACACCCTGTTCTCAGACACCCTCAGTCTATGTTCCTCCCTTAATGTCAGAGACCAAGTTCCACACCCATTCAGAACCACAGGCAAAATTATAGTTTTGTATATTCTAATTTTTACGTTTTTAGACAGCAGACGAGAAGACAAAAGGTTCTGGCCTGAATGGTAGCAAGCATTACCCGAGTTCAATCTCCTCTTAATTTCCCCCTGAACCAGTTTTTGATTTGTTACAGACCATTAGGAGGAAGAAATATTGATAGACCTCGAAACAAGTGGAGAGATCAATTAGGAGAGGCAATAGACCAACGAAGGGGAGCGCGGCAGCGTAGTTGGTTGAGACACTATGCTACAAGCCGGAAGGTCGTGGGTTCGATTCCCGACGTCAATGGATTTTTCAATTGACCTAATCCTTCCAGCTGCACTATGGCCCTGGGGTCGACTCACGCCTCTAACAGAAATGAGTACCAGAAAATTTCCTAGGGGGTAAAGGTCGGCCGGCGTGTAAGGCTGACCTCAACGCCATCTGTGAGACGATTGTCTAACAAATGTGGGAGCCTCGACGTCTCACAACACTACAGGTCTCCATGGCCTGTTATAGGGATAGCTTTAGCATTACGTTAAGAGAACGACAGGCCTTCTGCTGGAAGGATACCATCTGTAACGTGATTCGTTTCGTAATACCAGATTTATATTTGTAATAAATGAACATCAATGCCAATGAAATGTGCAAATTTCGCAAATAATTCATTCGAAAGATATGTGGACTCTACTGAAGTACATCTATTCACAAATATTATTAGGAAGAAACTCTCTCGGTCCTCTCTGCAGGGTTATATACGAAACATATTGCGTTAGAAATACGTACAGACAGACTGCAAATATAAGCTTATCTTGAAGTGAGAATGTGCTTATCTTTCTGGAGAGTCATGCGTCATCAGAGTCTGTATTTCAAGAAAGGTGTGTCTGTACCTCATTCTGGGCTTCTGGGGCTAACGTCACTTTTAGGATGTTCACTAATATTTATGATAGGGCGCGCCATAGCTCAAGCGGTTAGTCGCTGGCTTCCGGATCCCGGGTCTGGTCAAGTGGGATTTGTGGTCGACAAAGTGGCGCTGGGGCAGGTTTTCTCCGAGTACTTCGGTTTCTCCTGCCAATCTTCATTCCACCAATTGCTCCACAATCACCCTCACCTATCATCTGGGGCTGGTACAATAGGCCAGAAGTGGCCGCAGTACAAGGGACTTAGTCCCACCCCACTAGCAATAAAAAAAAATTTATAATAAAGGTAAGCCCATTTTAAAATGATGCCACTGACTCATGGAGTTGAGCCCTTCTTGATTAGCCGCCAGTTGTGCAGCTACTCAAGAATTTCCCAGCATTTTATGGAACCCGAAGGTTCATTACCGTGTTCACAAGAGCCCTTCAATGGTCCCAATCCTGAGCCAAATCAATCCAATCCATACCATCCCATCCTATCTCTCTAAGAACCAGCCACCTATGTACGTCTTGGTCTTCCTAGTAATCTCTTTCTTTGTGGCCTTCTCACCAATATCCTATATATATTCCTCTCCTCCCCCATTCGCGCTACATGTCCCGTCTATCCTATCCTCCTTGACTTGATCATTCTAATTATACTTGGAGACGAGGACAAGTTATGAAGCTCCTCATTATGCCACTTACTGTAGAAAAATATGTTGAACTTTTGTTACAAATATCAATTTAAAAAGCGTATGCAAATGCAACGGTTTCCAAACTTTACATGAAGATGTCCCCTCATCTCAACACATCCATTCCCGGCATGCAATGCGGGTGAACTAACTACACTGCCATTGTTGTTAACACTATTGCCAACTTCTGATGCCATTCTCACTAATTTCTCCTTTTACAGTGCGAACACAAGCTGATTATTATGCTTTAAGCAATTATTAAAATATACTCAATTACGGATAACAATGTTACGTTAACGATTATCGACTTATCAGTTGGTATATTTTATTTTATACCGCCATTCTCCTATCCTAAGCCTCGCGATCCACTTGGCAAACGGTCGCGGCACACAAATTGAGAATCACTGGCTTGACGTAAAACACACACAGGCTTAACATTTGAGGTTTTCACTGTAGTGAATATTATTGTGGTCTTCTGGTTACTGGCGCCAACAGCAACATAATTCCCCCATTTCCAGGTATTCAAACCCTGAAAATGGAGACAGTGTGTTCCTGCGAAACTTTGGTACCTATCTAGCAGAATACATTGAAATGAAGAAGTGTTATTTGGAGTCAGTGAGCAGAGGAATACCCTACACGAAATAAGAAAACGGAAGGCTAATTGGATTGGTCATGTTTTACGCAGAAACTGCCTTCTAAAAGAAGTTATTGAAGGAAAGAGAGAGGGGCGGATAGAAGTGGCCAGAAGACGAGGAAGAAGATGTAAGAAGATGCTGGATGACCTTGGGGACAGAAGAGGATATTTTCATTTGAAGGAGAAAGCTCTAGATCGCATCAAATGGAGGAACTGTTTTGGAAGAGACTGTGGACCTGTCGTCTTGACAGATTACTGATGAATGAATGAAAGCAGACTACTGTAATATGAATAAGTGAAATGCAAACTGCTGATCCTAAAGGCCTCTGATCAGAAAAGATAGATGTAAGGTCTTTAGAACACTGGGGCATGTGTGTTTTCATGCTCTTGTCTGCCGTGTCCTGTGATGGCAAGGAACTTGCGACGTCCTGAGCCCCTCTCCAGGGAATCCTTGTCGCTACCGGAGGCCCTGGCTGTAACGGCGAAAAGATGACGATGATAGCATTGCTGATGACACAAGTGATCAGATCGTTTTAATTGGGCGCTCAGCACTCCTCATGTAATGTTAAGTAAATCTGGTCACATGTTGTATGACTGCCTTTTTGTTAATTAAAAAAAAAAAATATGCCTGTATCATCATCATCATCATCATCATCACCACCATCATTGCCACCATCATTCGCAAAAGAGCCCTTCTTGAGCCATAGTTTAATTAGAAGATTCTGCCAGACTTGTCTTAATTACACCATCTGGTTTTCATTTCTTTGGATTTCGCAACAATAATTTCCTTTACAGAGCAAGGTCGTCAGCCTTGCATCATCAGATCTCCAACCTGGAGGATCAGGTCCCTGTATTTATTGTGTCCCCGTCGCCTAGTGGTCAGAGTTCTTGGCTACAGATCCAGAGGTCCCGTGTTCGATTCCCGGTGTTACCAGGTTTTCTGAGAAGTAGAGGGTCTGGAACGGGGTCCACTCAGCCTCGTGAGGATAACTGAGGAGGTATTTCATGGAAATAGCGGCTCCGGTCTAGAAAACCGAGAATAACGGCCGTGGGGATCCGTTGCGCTGACCACGCAACACCCTCTATCCGATAAAGTTGGCACTAACTTCGCCGACAAGTGGCGGTCGCTCGGTCGGCAAAGTTCGCTTGCGGACTAAAACCATGGATTTTTTTGTTTAGTGACAGGGTGGCTCAGTTACATCCTCAGGCATTGGGTTCCCTTTTCCTGCAACTCGCAGGGTTATGTTGGAGTTATTCTAACCTGCTTCCATACGGGGTAGGCCTGTATGATCTGATATAAATGACAGGCCCACGAGAAAAAAATGGGAACAAGAAGAAGATGATGAAGACGTTAATATATCCCAAACGTTCACAAACCATCTATTCAGTTTCTGTATCAACGAACATTCTAACAAGAGTTTTATTTGCAAAATTATTTAATTAATGCTTCTTGGTTTCGTTTCAGGTCTCAAGATGGAGTTCCCAGCAATCTGGTTCTCTGCAGTGATTCTCTTTGGTAAATTAAGCGATTTACTTATTTGATGAAGTGCATTAACTTAATTTAGTATTCTAGTATAAATTTATCTGAAGTTCGATAAAAAAATGAGTTAAAATATTTTACTATGTATTTCTATAAGAAAGCAGGAAATGAATGCATTATAGGAAGGTAAAGTCTATCCACCCACATGCCTCACCTCAAACAGATTTAGATGAAATTTGGCATGCGACTCTACAATATATCATATCAGTTTTATGCTGAACTGTGAAAGGACAATAAAATTGCAACATCAGCCATAAACTATAACTGAAACTGATAATGCTGTGGTCATCTACAACATGGTGGGGGGACGAGGGAAAGCAAGCCAGGCATCTGCCACGTCACCTGGATATGCTTCTGTCTTGTCACCAGAATGCAAGGCAGAATCAAGACATGAAGATAGCTAACAATCCTTTGAAAATATGACACAGTTAAAATATTTGGGAATGAAAGTAACAAACCAAAATTTGATTTAGGAGGAAATTAAGAGGTGACTGAATTTGGGTAATGCTCACTACCTTCAGTCCAGAACGTTCTACGTGTATCTTGTTGTCTACTGCCTAAAAGCGTAAAAATTAGAATATACAAAACTGTAATGTTGCCTGTGTTTCTGTATGGGTGTGAAACTTGGCCTCTGACATTAAGGGAGGAACACAGACTGAGGGTGTTTGAAGACAGGGTGCTGAGGAGAATATTTTGACCGAAGAGGGATGAAGTGACGGGAGGTTGGAGAAAACTGCATAATGAGGAGCTTCATAACTTGTACTCTTCTCCAAGTACAATTAGAATGATCAAGTCAACGATGATGAGATTGGAAGGGCATGTAGCACGAATGGGGGAGAAGAGGAATATACATAGGATATTGGTGGGAAAGCCAGAAGGAAAGAGACCAGTAGGAAGACCAAGACAGAGATGCATGGATAATATTAAAATGAACCTTGGATGGACAGGATGGGGCTTTATGGACTAGATTGATCTGGCTCAGGATAGGGACCAGTGGAGGGCTCTTGTGAACACGGTAATGAACCTTTGGGTTCCATAAATATTTGGGAAGTTCTTGAGTAGCTGCACAATTGGCAGCTTCTCAAGAAGGGCTCTGCACCCAGAGTTTGTTAGTTATAACCTCAGCACTCTGGGGTGATCAGTGAAAATAGCCTTAAACAGCCATAGATGGCTTCTGGGCAAATATTCTTAGTGATGCCCATGTTTGGTTCATGACTCTGAGTAGGCTGGTGAGTAATTATCAAACATACTGCTTCCTTCTTCAAGGTTGAAGGGAAAATAAAATGGAGACAGTATGTTCCTTCGAAACACTGATACCTATACATCAAACTAGTCACACTCCAGAAGACAGTAAACTTCACCATAAGAGTCATCAGTGGGGATATCCCCAAATCTGAACTTCAAATTTTTTTTAAAAATGAAACCAGGATAGCTCAGTTGGTATAGTGACTAGGCTATGGGCTGAACCACCAAGGAGTCAGGGTTCAATTCCTGGTAGAGGTAAGAAATATTTCTCTTCTTCATAACATCAGACCAGCTCTGGAGCCCACCTGCCCTCCTGTACAATGAATAGTTGGGTTGTTTTCCCAATGCGTAATGTGGCAGGGGTGTAAGCTGACCACTCTGGTTAAGAGTAGTGGAGCTATAACTTCGCTCCCCCATACGTCTTCATAGTGTGATGTCTAATTAATTAAGAGCATGGACAACTCTGCCTTTGCCTATGACGCATGCAAAATATTGTCACTTAAAACTGAATGAATACAGTTTCGATATACTTTTCTTGATGATTATTTACTGACCAAAATGAAACATACAAAATCTCTCTCCATGCTTGGGAATATATTTAATGTTTATTAAAATTTCAACAATAATTTTGTATCTGTGATAAATGTACATGAGCAAAATTGCAAAGACCATACTCGTATCTGAGAAATTAATGCTCTGATTGGCCAGTCTTGTTTAATATTGTTTCTTCTCTGTCTGTCCAGCATGTATGTCTAAGCTCCTGGTGACCGGGCAACAGAATGCACAGACACGAATACCTGATACTCTGATTGAGTGTTATCGGAATCAGTCACTTCGACATCCAGAGAACAGGCCGCCCATGACTATCCAAACATTCATTGACATTATCAGAAAAGTTGAAAAATACCCAAGACAAACAATGGATATCAAAGCATTAACAACATCAATATTACACAGGTGAATGTTTTAGATAAGTGCAAGCCTTCATATGTATCCTGTTCTCTCAGACTGAAAATCTAACAGTTGCTCAGACATTTACAGAACCTAAAGGATTACTGTGCTCACAAGGGTCCACTACTTGTCCCTATCCCCAGCCAGACGAATTCAGACCGCCCTTTACCACTCTATTTCTTTTAATTTTAATATTATCCTTCCATCCATGCTTAGTTCTTCCAAGTGGTCTGTTTCCTTCAGGTTTTCCAACCAAAACGCAGTACACAGTTCTCTTTCCTCCCATCTGTGTTGTGTGCACCAACCACCTTATCCTCCTAAGGCAGTGCATGTTTGATAATCCTGTGTGTACTGTAGGTTTCGACTTGATGGTATTGAAAAAAGTCATGATGTCATGGAAACAGAAGGAGTGATACCATATGCAGTTAAGGGAAACCAATTCTACAAGCATCGTCTCGTTTTGAGGTACCTTGTGCCTGCCAATGAGTACCAGTTTCCAAATGAAAGCCTGTCACAGGTTGAACTGGTAAGTAGCAACAATTTGTATTTGTTTTTACATCCTTCTTACACTGATGTAGATTGTAAACAGACTGAATAAATTATGAGTTAACCACAAATTACACAAATATAATTTATACAAGAATATGGAAACTGGATGACTGAGGGGTTGGAGTTCAAGTCTCAGTAGGGTCAAGAATTTTCTCTTCTCCTATCCAATGGGTACCAGGGACTCTTTCCCCGGGGGTAAAGCAGCTGAGGCATGAAACTGAGCACTCACCTCCAGCTAGTAGGGATAACCAATAAACTTCTGCTGGCTGATGATGATGATACTACTACTACTACTACTACTACTACTAATAATAATAATAAATAGTGGACTAAATTTGTGACTGACTTATTTCTTCTTTCAGTGCACATTACATTTCATGCTGTCTCATTCCATTGACAAAACACAACGCGGTGATGAATCGACGGTGTGTGGAAGACTGTCCGATTACAGAGCCGGAAGTGGAAATCGTACACCACGAAATTCACGATACAGAAGACAAACGGAAGAGAAAGCAGTAGCTGCAGCCAATGAGGAAGCCTCAGACACACAACAAGAATATCCAGAGTCATCCAAAGAGTCGCCTAACAGCGAGGAAGACGAGACAACGCTGGGTGCTGTAGATATTTCTCAGAGCCCAGAAGGTGAAGGGTCGGGAGATACATCAAAACAAAATGGTGAACACAATCTGAAGCAAACAGAAGAACCGCCAGAAACTTCACAAGACAGCGCACAGAAGAAGCAAGCTGAAGTGGAAGTAATAAATCAAAAAACCACGTGAGTTCCTTCTCTTTCTATTTCTACTTTGAGCAGTGTATAACAGTAGCATCGCCGATTCAATTTACGGTCTTTTGGATTTTGGGCCATGGGGATTCGTTGCACTGACCACACGGCACCCTCTATCCAGTAAAGTTGGCACTAATTTCGCTGACAAGCGGCGGTCGCTCGGTCGGTATAGTTCACTTGCGGACTAGAATCACGGAGTTTAGTTTAGTTTGTAGTAGTATTGTTTTTGAGTCACATACTGTATTTTCTTTTCTTTAATTCACTTAGAGGGGGGTGGGGTCTAACTGTGTCCACTCGGCACGGTGGCCACTGATTGGCCTATTGTCCCTGCCCCAGGTGATTATGATGATGGATAATTTGGTGGAATGAAGATTGGCAGGGGAAACCGAAGTACCCAGAGAAAATCCGCCCCAGCGCAGTATTTCTCAGGGCCCCCAGTACATACCTGTATCTCATCAAAGGACAGAAAATGGGATACTGAGAAGTGGGAAAAAAAGGCCCTTTGCAGGATCTCTGGAAATGAGAGGAGTAAAGTGAGATATCAGTCCTTTTGAGGGCTCTGATACAGGAATGTCAGCTCATGAAGAGTAATTGTCATGACCTTGGAAGCGTTTCCTCTCTTATTTAGATAGTGGGAACTTTCAATAGATGGGATATAAAATTTTGAGACGAGACAGGGATAAAATAATTGTTGAACTTATTTTTAGAAGCAATATATCAATAAAAACTTAAGAAAGAGAACATGAAGAAGCGTATTATTAATTTCATAAGCAATATATATTTGTATGAGCATAGGTCCAGGATGGTGAAGTCAGTACAGTGACCCACTACAGGCTGGACCACTAAGGGAACACAGTTCGATTCTTGTTAAGGGCAAGATTTTTTCTTTTTCACATCATCATGACCAGTTCCAGGGCCCACCCAGCCTCCTATTCAATGGGTACTGGGGGTAAAGCGTCCAGGTCATGAAGGTGACCATTCACCTCCAATTAGCGTTGAAGTCAAGGATACCTGGATCTTTACATCCATTCCCCTATACACCTTCATGGCATAGTGCACAGGAACAATTTACCTTATAAACAAATGTTCTGGCTGCTCCGCCCCAGGCTTTTATAAAAATACATGACGGAGTCTATGACTCATACCTACATTCATGTTCCATACAAATATTATGTTTCTGGACATTATCCACTGTACATAAACATAATATTTGTACTAATGTACCATCATCACAAACTTTCAGAGCTTACTCTTAGTCAGATATCTGATAAATTCATACGGTTTCTTTACAGTGACAATGGGACAAAGAGTGGGAAATTTGTCTTTGATGACGATGTCGGGTATAACCCCAATCCAAACAAGAGAGCAAGACAGGTGCTGGAACCAACGGATCCGCTCAACACTGACCGACAGATACCTCGTGTAACTGTCACTACCGTTGAAAGCGACTGCCCTGTTGAAAATGGTGTCGTAAGAACTAAATGGGGCACCGTTTCGTTAGGAGCTGTGCTAGCTGGAGTAGCAGCAGGGCTCTACCCACAACAGATCCCACTTCAAGAGTTTGTTCAGAGGACAATAAGCCCACGAACACTACCACCAGAACTCATGTCCACTGTAATTGACAATAAATTTGCTGCCACTCTTGTAGGTATGGAATTTTTTAACTTGACTGAATACAATTTTTTTGTTCAACTGATAGTTACATAGTGTTCAAGGGTATAATCAGGCATTGTTGTTGGACACTGTGGCATTTCTTTTGAAGACACTAATGTGAAATGTAAAGTATGTTTAATTTTTGACCTCTGACATGAAAATCTCAGCTCCTTTAAGCAGTGACGTGCATTCTGTGAGCTGTCTGTTGTTCGATTCCGCCTTTAGAAGTGTAAAGCGTAAAGCTGTCTTTATACCAAGACTTATACCCATTCCCTTCAAGCTGGAACTGTGTGCCAGAGCTGGCATCTTCATATTCAGGGTTACACCGCTAGTTGTAATGACTGTGAATTATGTGTATCATATTGGAAGACCATGGACCAGACTGGCTGCAAACTTTGTCAGCTGCTAATCCTATCCGTGTGTCACTGCCATGAAGACAGGCAGGTGGTGACATAATTTTAAGAAATGTTTCCTTGGCATTTATTTAATTGTTTCATTTGTGCAGTTCAAATCTAACTCAGAGGTTCACAAACTTTTATTGCAAACCCCCTTAAAAATATTTCTTAAATTTAAAGCCTCTCCCATTCCAGGGCAAATGCAAATAGATTTTACATAAAATTTAGCTATGAATATACCTTTTTTTATAGCCTCTGTGGTCTAGGGGTCAGAGTACATCTGTTCCACATTCAGTATTTTCTTTATTTTAAGGTGATTTGGCAGAGGCTGCATTGGAGCAGGGTCCCAAGAAACAAGATGATATTAAAGTTGGTCTCAGTGGTGGATGGAACAGCACACTTTTTCCGCGTTGGTATTTTAACAAGGAGAAAGATAATCATGAAATAACCGACGCCGAGATCCGTGGAGGGCTAGATGGTAAGAGGCTGACCGTGGACAGATTACTGACAGTAGACGCAGCATAGAACAAGCTCTTTTTTGTCCATCTTGGATTAGAATCTGCCCTTTCCCAGAAATGATATGTGATATCAAAATATATCCCTGTTCACATTGCTTCTTCTTAGTTTTACAGTGCTGTCTGCATAAATCAAATACAATTTTTCTTTGCCGCTTACCTCAAATGACACTGTCAGCCTTATTAACAGTATGTACAGTACTCTACAGGGTTCTACAAGCCCTGATCTAATCATGTGTGATAAGTAAATTGTCGAGGCTGATGAGGGGAAAAAGTTTGTTACTAATATTCATTAATATCGTAACATGGATTCCCAATGTTAGGCGATGGCTTGATAAATAAGTTCCTGTGAAGAAAGATTCTTGGAAAATAACTCATTGCTGGGTAACATGTACAACAATACACTACAAGAATGAGAGGTGTTTTCTATGTGGTCTGTGCAGAGTCTATATAATGACAGCCAGTAGCTAGTCGAATACCTCCACTGTGACCCCGTGAATCATAGGAGGTGACGAAAATGGGAAGTCTCAAATCTGAGACAGTAAAATATGGTTGCGAGTCAAAATGGACTCGGACCCAAGAAAGAATGTGCTTTGGAGAGCCAGCAGCATATACAAAAGACAGATCCAGAGAGGGTGCTCCACAAAAACAAGACCGTAACTGCCAAACAGTGATACTCGTAAATATCTGGTCATGAGCCCCATATGGGGCTCGACACCAAGACTTACTGACTGACTGACCATAAGTCACAATGTAACTTTGACTTTGGATTAGATCTGAGTGAGAATTAGAATTGGAGAATTAGGTCGAGTTCTGAAGGGTCAGCTGAGAAAGTCTACTAATGTTATCAGCTTGCAGAATGGATGTGGGAAGACCTTAATTAATTACCTCACCTTATCTTCATTAGATGATAGTAATGAGCATATTATCCTCGAGGTGACATATTTCCTGTTGCTGCTGAGGCTTGCAATACACAGCACAGACTTGCCAGACAGAAATGCTATATATGTGAAAACTAGACTTGCTGATACTTGATTTAAGCTCTGTTTTTAATTTTTCAGGTTTGATTTTGGGAACGCATATCGATGAGTGGAGACGCTATGTACCAGAAGGCGAATTGAAACTTTCTCAAATTCTGTCCATGTATTATTCAGAAGATGGAGTGTTCACACCTGAGTATCGTGCTTGCCGGCGCAGGGATCTCTACTCTGAAGTGGCACCAAACACAGTTATGGAGGAGCAAGTAAGAAAACGTTTTGATTTCTCGTGAGGAAGAACATAAATTGAGGATTTTTCAGAAAAAAAATCTGAGTAGAACATTTGGAAGAAATGGAGAAAATTATATGAGGGTCTTCATGATTTTTATTTGTACTTATTACTGTTGGGATACTTAAATAAAGGAAGCTATTATATGCAGTATGTGGGAAAATGAGAAATGCATAAATTATTTTGATTATAAAACCTCAAGGAAAAATCATTGTGACTTATGAGATTCTAGCAGCAGCAAACCTCAGCATTATGGTCTTGTGTTGTCTACCGTGCAGANCCCCCCCCCATGGCGTCAGTTAATTCGTAAAACAACTGCAGTAATATTACGGTAAATACTACTTCACGTGGAGCGGATGACTGATGTTTTATGTTACTTTGCTCTTTTTCTTAACAGCCCAACGAGGGCACCTCTGCCGCCAGTTTCAGCAGAAGAAAACTCCCGAAAGCTTTCTTCCTCATGGCCGAGAATTCACTTCAACATCTGGTCCTGTTTCTTCCCGGGCATTATGGCAGGGGTTAGAATCCCTTGGTCTTCTCTATTATTCAAACCACTTCTTTTTCCTCCATCTCCCTTGAACCATGTTCGCGACAAAGTGTATTGACTTTGGCTCTCTCTAAGCTTTATTCCTTCTTTCAGCAGATTGAAGCGTAGACACGTTTAGGTTTCACGTGTAACACTTCTTTCTGTGTGTACATGCCCCTTTTGTATATGTGGATACGCTTTTCTTTTCAGGGGGCTGTTATTTTTATTCAATGTGACGTGCATTCTTCATGTATTTGTGTGGAGTACCAAACCAAACACTTGGCATTCTGAGATCGAACCACCCAAACCTTATGTAACTAAACTAAATAGGTTTTCCGTGCTTTGTTCAAGTACGAATGAAAGAAAGTCGTTTAGGTTGAGGCAGCGCCATAGCTCAAGCGGTTAGTCGCTGGCTTCCCACCGCGGTGGCCCAGGTTCGATCTTGGGTCTGGTCAAGTGGGATTTGTGGTGGACAAAGTGGCGCTGGGGCAGGTTTTCTCCGAGTACTTCGGTTTCCCCTGCCAATCTTCATTCCCCCAATTGCTCCACAATCACCCTCACCTATCATATGGGGCTGGTACAATAGGCCAGAAGTGGCCGCAGTACAAGGGACTTAGTCCCACCCCACTAGCAACAAAAAAAATTACTTTCAAAATGATTTCTTAATATGTGTTACAAGGCCATGGGTTTTATATAATTCCCTCAGTTCTCTATTGGTCGTGATTCTCCAAACTCCTCAACCGGTTACTGGTCCACAAACCTTCCTCACAGTTTCACCTTCTGCATACTTATGATTACCTTATCCTTGCATCACAACTGGGTTTAACTTTGTTGTGCAAATTTCTAGACTTTCAGATTCACTATGGTTCTTGACCAGCAGTCAATAAGCTCAGCCAGTGTAGATGACGCCCGTGTCAAAAAATTTGCAGAAACTGCCGTCAGGAAGCTGGGAACCTATTTGCGTATGTATATATCACCCCACTTGGTGTACAATAGTGGAATGCCAGTTGAAAATGTTATAGAGGCATCTAGTAGTTTCCACCCCTACAATTTCCGCTGATTCACTCTTACATATTACAACCCTCGAGACACACTTCATAATCATGATTTCCCTTAATATGTACAATGTGACCCTCAAAAATTCTGGAAAGAGAGCTTGATAGAGTAATAATAATAATAATAATAATATGTTTCTGGACATTATCCATCATCATGTTCTTATTTTAAACACAACGTTTCAGAAACTGGATTCTGTCTCCATCTTGATATAAAACCTATTCAGTTGGGCCCAACTGATAGAGCCAGCCCCTATCTCCTGAAGATAGAAACAGAAGCCAATCTCTAAAACGTTGTGCTTTAAGTAAAAACATCACTGTTCCTTATCTAACTGTATTAACAAATTCTGGGTTACAGCCCCTGCTCTCAAAAAGTTCATTACTAAGTCAATCCGTTCATCTCTCTTTTTAACACTTCTCAGAAATCTCACATTCAATAGCTGCATTTTACTTTTGTTTCATTGATATGGGCAAAATTATATATACTTTAAAAGAAGCAACTAAATCTTGAGCTTCATAGATCACTTTTAAATTGATACTGTCCTCTGCTTCAATTACTGGTTGATCCTGTAACTGCTTCTTGATACTGTTGTGTTTCTTATTGTAATCTTCTGGGTTACAGCACCATGTTATAATTTGATGCGTGGGTACCACCATTTCAGAGGAACATAATGTATGTATATATATATACAGTGCTCCAAAATGGTGGCCCTCATCTACCGGGCTACATGGTACCATAACCCAGTAGTCCATAGTGTGATTTATTACTGCCATGAAGGCCTCAGATCTTACATGTATTTTCTTTTATTTCAGCTCAAATTTATGAGAATCCGTGTAAAATAAAAAGCACCACCACTCGAGATGCACTCCCTCCAACTCTATCAATGTATACCAATGTAACAGTTGTAATTGACAGAAATTGGGATTTCAAATCCATCAAGAATATTCTATAGTAAGTATGAGTCAAAAAATAAGAGGAGTTTGCAGAAAACTGCATAATGAGCTTCAGAACTTGTATTAAATATAATTAGAATGATCAAGACAAAGAGGCTGAGATGGGCAGGACATGTAGCACATGAGAGAGAACCAGAATGCATACAGGGTTCTGGTGGGAAAACCAGAAGAAACCAATATGAAGACCCAGACATAGATACAAGGATAATTATCCTGTTTCTTTACGATCCATTTTAATATTATAATATTAAAATGGATCGTAAAGAAACAGGATGGAGTGTATGGTATGGGTTCAAGATAGGGACCAGTGGCAGGCTCATGAGAACATGGTAATGAACCTTAGGGTTCCACGAAGTGTTGAAAAATTCTTAGATAGCTGAACAACTGGTGGCTTCTCAAGAAGGGCTCAGCTCTATGGACTTAGTTAGTTAGTTACGTATGAGTCAGAGATTACAAAACATGGGATGAGCATCCATCAGTAGATACGGGGATCAGCCCATCGCAAGGGCTCCTACCTACACATAGAACAACATTAACACAGAAGAAACGCACACAATACAGAAATCCATGCCTTGAGTGGGATTTGAACCCACAATCCCAGCGTTCAAGCGAGCAAAGACAGCTCATACCCTAGACCACGTGGCCACTGTGATCAGCATAACATTAGGATACAATGAAATTAAACGGTGGAGCAATATGTTAAAATGGTATTTATCTCTGGAAATATTTGTAAGATAAGTTGAACAGAAGTTAGGATGTATGATCTGAGAGTCACTGTACCAAGGTTTTCTTTCATTTTCTCTTCAGCTGAAGACATAAATAGATCCAGTTTCTGAAATGTAGTACCTTTAATAAACTCAGACAACATACAAGATCCAAAGTAATAGTTTTAAGCAATATAACTAGAGAGGTGACATATAATGGCTTGTTCATGGTTCTCTGTTGCATTGATCACACTTAACATAGATATGTCATGTAATACTGACTCACTCTGCTAAGTGCAAAATATTGTTATAACGTTTAATAATAATTTCTGTACTACTGCAGCAACTTGGCAAATGACCTTGAACTTGGAGAATATGGAAGTCGAATGACAGTGGTCGATGGAAAGAACAGAGCGCCATTCCTTATTGATGCAATGTATTCGCTTGATGTTGACACAAACTTCACTGAGTCTGCTTACATCACTCGTAAGTTTCATGCTCTCTTTCAAATATTACCGAGTCTTTCTTTTACATTACTTCATTACTTTTACAATTAAATATATAACTTAATTACAGTGGAATCTCATTTAATATTTAATATAAGTTTTTCCCTCATTTCACTTTAATTTCAGTCATCTGAAATTAATAATACCACTGTTAAATTTCTTCCATTCAGTTTGGCGCTCATGCCAACCACTACACAAAAAGCAAAAGAACTTAAATTCAGGCATCACTAAATATATTTGGCATGAAAAGTATTTAAATTATATAACTAACTTCATAGTATGCAATCTTACTAGGAAGGTTTTTTGTTCCTGACCCACTTTAGAATTTCCTGCTTTTATGGAACCCAAAGTTTAATTATTACGTTCATGCAATAATGTGATTCTAACCTGATAAAAAATTATCTTTCCATCTACTCCTCACTTTTCCAAATGAATATCTTTCCACCAGTTACTGGTGATAGCTCAGTCAGTACAGTGACTAAGCTATGAGCTGGATGACTAAAGAATCAGGGTTTGATTCCCAGGAGGGCCAAGAGATTTTTATTTTCCTCATAACATCCAGACTGGTTCTGGAACTCACTCAGCCACCTGTACAATGGTACCAGGCTGTATTTTCCTGGGGCTAAAATGGTAGGGGCATAAAGCTGACTGCTTGCCTCCACCTTGGGCAGAGGTTAAGAATGCTGTAGTTATATCTTCACTCCCCCCTACATCTTCGTGGCATGATGCTTAACTAATTAAGCCCAAGTACATAACTTTACCTGATACTGGCGTATTTCGCAATTCTTTAATCTGTGTTCCTTATTTTGAAAAAATCAAATCAGGTTTTATGAGATCACCTTGCTCCCTGTCTGTCCTTCTGTCTGTCTGTGTATTCCCCTTAATTTTTGTTAGGGGGCTTGTGAGATCGCCTCGCTGTCTGTGTAAGTGTGTCCATGTATCCCCATAGTATTTTTGTTTCCTATGTGGTCAATGCTGTATCAAATGAAAGCATATGATCTGTTCTTCCCAGAACTTGCTTATTTATTAAATGCTTTTATGGCTAAAAAAGTCTGAGTCTCATAACGTTATTATGGAACCACTGCATACCAACTGACCCATCTGCTAACTCTTTCCAGATGAAGGAGGTATGGATATTCCTAGAGCACTTGAGCAAGAGCTCAAGAGGAGCATGGAAAATCTCCTGAAAGCTGAGAAAGAGACTAGAACAGCTGGAGGGAGATCAACAGTTATCTTGTTCATTCCGCGAGATGTCATCAATCTCAACAATAATGATTTGACAATCGCAAAGGAGCAAATAAAGTATTTTAGGGAATATCTTCCAGGTTTGTATGTTACAATGCCTTTGTGTAAGTTGACTATCACAGTCTCTCTACTGACGCTACAGCCCCATCTCTTATATATCATGATGTGTATACCAATTGCTAGGCAACGAATTTCTTTTATTGCTAGTGGGGTGGGACTAAGTCCCTTGTACTGCGGCCACTTCTGGCCTATTGTACCAGCCCCAGATGATAGGTGAGGGTGATTGTGGAGCAATTGGTGGAATGAAGATTGGCAGGGGAAACCAAAGTACTCGGAGAAAACCTGCCCCAGCGCCACTTTGTCCACCACAAATCCCACTTGACCAGACCCGGGATCGAACCCGGGCCGCCGCGGTGGGAAGCCAGGGACTAACTGCTTGAGGTATGGCACGGCCTAGGCAACGATTTGATAAACACATTACCAAGAATCGTACGCATGCAACAGAAGGACGTTTATTGCTATATAATGGACCGGTAAAAAACGCCTCATTAACATTAAAGGCTGTGTTTTCTGTGTGGTCTGTGATGAGGGGTTATAAAAGGACACAGTCAGAAGATGCGACCAAGTAGGAGTAGCAGCAGAATAGTACAGAACAGAGTTCAGTTCAAGACGACGCTAGCCTGCCGGAATATGAGCCTTGAACTAAATTGAGTTGGCAGTTACAGAAAAACGGCAAGAATGAAATTAAGCTGTGAAAAGATGGCTTCCTGTGAAATTTGAAGTTATGGTGAGACTGTGATGAAATCCGTTGCCAGGATGACTAGTGAAGACTGAGAACCCTAATGAGTGTGTAATGTTGAATTGTAAAATGGGTCGAATAGCGATAGTGCTGTACTGCCTGTAGTCCCGGGTTGTGCGTGTGAATAAAGTGTCAAGAAATCCAATCATCCAATCCCAAACCCCCGTCTATAAGTCACTAATACATGTGACAACAGAAAAACGATTTTTTGTTTTTGTTTCCTACTGTGGACCTATTACAGAACACCCAAAAATATTAGGAAATATATTACATACTCTTGCAAACATCTACTGTTGTCATGCCTGTTAAAGCAACGAGCAAGTATTGTGGTAGAGGTTTTGTATGTGACTTAAATCCTCATTCCCAATCTTCTTTTAATTACATGAGTAAACTTTAATTCCTTAATTTGACTGTTATTCCTTCATTAATGGCTTAGTCACTACACATATTGTGATGCTGACAATGATAGAAACCATATCCTATATGAACAAAGGTTATTTCTGCTTGTGTATTATATCATTTTTAAAAATTAAGTAAGAGCACCTCTTAGATTCATAGTCAGACCTTCACAAGGCCCTAATACTACACAGATTGGTGAGGCAGTAATTCTGTAAGCTTGTATCTGAGATGTTTGAAGTTGTGGAAATATTCCCTTTATTAAACATGTCATAATTTGGTAGATGTGAATATCTCTTTTGGCTGCCTTAATGAGTGGTTCAAGTCAAACCTGCTAACCCTAAACTTCAGCAAAACTAAACATGTACAATTTGCGGCTAAGTCTTGTCCTAATACCGGAGTTATGGTTAATTATTGCAATAATGTGATCCCAAACAGTACCGAGGTGAAGTTCTTGGGTATAATTGTTGAAAGCACGTGTACTTGGAAGGCCCATATATCCCAACTCATACCTAAGTTGTGTAAGGCGTGTTATTCAATGAGGGTTGTTAAACCCATCATGCCTACCGAAACATTAAAAATGATTTACTATTGTTATTTTCATTCACTTTTAACCTATGGAATTATCTTCTGGGGCAATACCTCGTTTAGTGTACAAATTTTTAGAATTCAAAAAAGAATAATTAGAATTATGAGTGGGCTAAGAGCAAGGGATTCCTGTAGACAAGCATTTAGGGATTGGGGGATTTTGCCACTCCAGTCCCAATATATATTTTCTTTATTGATATTTGTTGTAAATAATAAGGGTCTATTCCATACATCAACACAGATTCATGGTCTCAATACAAGGCGCGGTTTAGATTTATATTGCCCTCAGACAAATTTAACAGTTCATCAGAAGGGTCCTTATTGCTATGGAATTAAACTTTTTAATTGTCTCCCATTAAAAATAAAGGAAGTAGTACATGATAATAAGGTATTTAGAGTGGCCTTAAACGCCTTTTTAAATTCAAAATCCTTTTATACTTTGGATGAATATTTTGGTTGTATAAATGAGTAGTAATTTACTATGTTCATTCAATATTGCATGCATTGTTTGGATGTGCAGTTGTACATTCAAGGATATTGCACTGATACCTGCATTGTATATAGCAAGCTTATACCTTGACTGGTTTTATTTGGTATTGAACATGTAAGATATAATCTCCAACTTGACTGGTATGCCATGTAACAAACATACCTCATTATAGTTGATGGATGTTGTGATCTTTTATGGTTTGAGATATATAAGCTACTAAGTTGAATGAATTTATTATGTAATGTGTTTTTATTACAATTTTAACTTATTTTATTTACAATTAAACATGGTATAGTGTTATGTATATTTTAGGTTGATGTATATTTTATGTTGACTAGTTCCATTGTTGGAGCATTTGTTGAAGATATTTGACTTGTTCTGTGTCCAGTGGTGTTGGCCTGTAATTGGATTTGCTTGAATGCAATAAATACTATACTATACTTGAAAGGATTCTGACGATGGTGTATACTGTATTTCTTTTTGCTTATTTTGGACTTCACACATCGTCTGGTATATAAAAGACAAAAAAAAAAGGTCCAGTGATTGAGACTAGCTCTTTCTAAGGGGCCAAACTGAGTAGGTTTATCCTTCCCTATCCACCTGAAGATGGAGACAGATCCAGTCTCAGAAACGTCATGGTTTTTTTGTCTTCTATATACCAGACGATGGGTGAAGTCCAAAATAAGCCAAAAGAAGTACATGTCATAATTTTCTGTGATGAAACTATTCCACTCGTCACAATTGAAGGGATAATGATTTTAATTTTATTTCAGATGTTAAGTTCCTGTATCTGGCTCCTGGAAACAAAGAGAATTACAGGGAACTAGTTGACAATCCTTCAAATGATGTGTTTACAATTCCATCCCAGATAAATGAAAATGATATAACCACAATCTGTGATCCACTTATTGACAGGATTAAGAAAGGTAAGCAGTCCTCACTTAAGCAGGAATCTCAGTTCATAACTAAGCATGTTTGTGTAATAGTGATGCTGTAAAGTATTTCAGAATGAAATTATGGCGATTTTCCACCCTTCCGAGATATATCACCATCAGATTTTAGTGTCGTAATGCAGTGATTAAGGTTAGGTTTCCTTAATGGACCACATAGATAGGAACCCTCACTGTCATGCGTGTCTGATGACATAAAGAGATCCAATTTTTGATATGATATGTTTTGTTTAAAAACGAACAGATAATGCTGAAAATATTCAAACTTATGATTATGCTATAGATTTGTATTTTGGAGGTACCTAGTTCAAATTTCAGTGAAACAGAACTGCTACATGACAAAAAATATCAATTTCTAAACAAATGTGGTACAAGAAAAGGCATTATATGAGCATGAAAGATAGTTATTACACAGTCTATCAAGGATATCAGAGAATATAGACGGTCAAGGTAGCTGAGCAGTCTAAGGCATGCACTGTCTTCGCTTGCTCGGAAGCCGGGATCGTGGGTTCTCACTCAGGGCATGGATGTTTGTGTGCGTTTTTCTGTGTTTGTCTATAGGTAGAGGCCTTGTGACAAGCTGATCACTCACCCAAGGAGTCCTACCGAATGTGTAAGATCTAGAAAAACCGAAGTGAACGGAGTTCATGGAGGTAGGCCTAGGCCCACTGGGGCTGTAGTGCCAAGAAAAAAAAATCAGAGAATATAACAATAAGTTCATATTAATCAATTAATTTTTGATTAATTACTTAATACTGGTGTATTCACACTACATGTTTTTACTAACGTTGGTCATGTTCAGGTGACTCTAAAACATTCATAACAGGTACATGCAGCACAATAGGAGGAAGTATTGATCAGCACAGAACACATGGGCGCATAGACAAGGGCATACCCACAAAATTGAGCTTATGGATGGAAGCGCAGCAGTCTCATCAGCAATTTTAGAGTCACCTGAAGATGACCAATGTTGGTCGAAACACATAGTGTGCATACACCAGTGATGCAGAAGAGATATTAACGTTTAAAAACTTTTAAAGTTTTTAAGAAGCGAGTTTCATGTGAGACAGATGTTGACTAATGGGAATATATGTGCGATGTGCAACAGGATGATATGATGCAATATGAGTATTATGATCACTCATGTGTTCATAGCACAGTACTTAAGCACATGGACGNGAATGATATGATGCAATATGAGTATTATGATCACTCATGTGTTCATGTTTTACAGCCACACATGGATTCATTTTCATAGCATAGTACTTAAGCACATGGACAAAGTTACGTTCCATAACCTCATGGTACATCATATTCAGTATTTAACATAAATTGATACGTATTCCTTAAACCTCTAAGACTTATATTTACTTTCCTAGTTTCACTGCGGCTGACTAACCCAGTGTGTGGAAGTGACTGGCAGGGAGAAAGTTATCAAACTGCTGAGTACATCCACTCTGTGAAGCAAATGGGAGTCAAATATCATCGACTCCATCCAAACTACTTCTACGGAGTGTCATCAGCTGTAGTCACAGTAAGATTCATTCTTCGTTCGGGCAGTATACTGATCACACAACATATCACATGACGTATTATTCAGTTATCGTTCAATAGCAGTAGTGATATTCAATTATCATTTGAACATGAGTTTATATGCAGTACAATTTTGTAATTTGATACATGCTGTAAAACTCACTTTCTAAAACTTATTTAAGTCCTTCCGTTACAGTTCTATTTATCTCTGTATCTGACATGTGTAATTAATTACCGGTTTTTATTTTGAAGAACAAATGAATGGAGTACTGTACTTATTTACTCACTCACTCCTTGACTCTATGGTTCTCTAAGAACTAGAGCCTTTCTTTACAGCACATGCCCATCCTTTTCTATTATCTATCTTTCAAAAGCATGTCTTCAGTTTCAGCTCTCATATATCATTCTCTGCATCTTCTAGTCATATCAATTTGCACCTTCCCACTTGTCTTCCAACTTCTGGATTACTTTTAAAAAAAAGTCTTAGCTGCTCTTGTTTGATCCATTCTGATCACATGCCCTAACCACTCCAGCCTTCTTCTATCATCCACTACCGAATCACAGTTTCTTCACAATGACCAGCGTCCTGACAGGTTGCGATTACGCAAACAAATTCTAAAGGGTTCTGACTATGGTGTACGACAATTAGGATTAATGGATTTTTGGACCTTGTCCATCATTTGGTATTCTAAAGAACACTAAAGAACACAACGTTTCGGAAACTGGATATGTTTTCATCCTCAGGTGAGGGGGTGGGAGACACCTACTCTGTTGGGTCTGTTAGAATGAGCCCATCCCAGTCACTGGACAACACATGTCAGTAAATTAAAGTTTTATATACACTTGGTTGTGGACTTACGACCGGCCGCACTTACGGCCACAAAAAAAAAAGAAACATAAAAGATGATTAAAATGTAAAAGTTTTTAAAAATAAATTATAGAGATTATATAAAAATATTAGAAAGGTTAAAAAATACTGTTAATAAATATATGGCCGATATACGACCAGATCGACGTACGACCTGTCAGTCAAAACGGAAGTCGGTCTTAAGTCGATGACCAAGTGTGTGTGTGTGTGTGTGTGTGTGTGTGTCTATATATATATATTTGAGGTCAGAATTTGTCAGTGGAAGATAAATCACCTTGGTTTGTTGGATTTAATTTCCACTTCCTCCTCTATCTTAGTTTCAAGTCTGTAAATGTATTATCTCATTTTTATTTCAATTTTTCCTGTTATCTCCCACTGACAAATCCTGATCTCAGGTACATATATATAACTGCAGCTTATTGCCATAGAATGCGCAGTGATTGGGATCAACTCTTTCTAACAGACCCAATAGATCTGGCGTCTCCAACACCCTCCACTGAGGAAGGAATCGGGTCTAGTTTCCAGAACCTTGTGTTCGTTAGAATAACAGATGATGGACTATAGTCCATTCGCGGAGACGAGAGAGTCCTCGTAAACATATGCACGCGGTATCTCCTTCGCTCTTTGAATGAAATCATGCAGCGATCACGTGATGCGTGTACCGTTGCAGGGGTGTCCAAAGTTCACTCTTCAGTCTGAATGCAGGTTAACGTGCGTCTGAATGCAGTGAGTACACTGAAGTAACTGCGCGCTTTGTCCACTCCTTCCTGTCAGCTGTGGCGACGCGGGGCTTGCTTTGTTTACGCTGTCTCGTCTCCGCTAATGGACTATAGGTCCAAAAACTCATTAATTCTGATTCTGCTTATTCAGTTACTCATCTAAGGTGCAGTGACAGTTACTCTATGATTTCATTACACCCTCCTTCAAGTAACAGTCATTTAAATGTATTTTCCAGCCAGACAGTGCGCCATTTAAATTCAGATACAAGGAGATAAGTTTTCTAAATGTTTTTGTTCCAGGTTTCACGCACCAATAACGATGATTTGAGAGTCTGTTATTCAAGAAAGTATGAACAGCCTGAAAATGCTACAAGTGGTATCACATGTAGACAGACACAGTCTGAGGATGTTGAAATCAAGCTTGACAATCCTTGTGAAGGGTTTGAGTTTATTTCCCAATGTCCACCACTATACATTTCAGTTATATCTGATACCATGGTCCAACAGCCTAGCTGTAAGCACGGTAAGAACATGTTCAGATTGTAATACAAATGCTTGCACCGTCTTCCTTCAATTAATAATTTCTAACAAATAATTTTACTGCTCCTTAGTATGGTTACAGAGATAAATCTCTATCTCACCTTTTTGCTAAATAAATGGCCATGCCATTTCTCACAGTTCCCTGTGCACTTGCATGTTAATATACAGGAATCCCCCAACTGACATGAAATTGTCATCATTGCAAGTGGGATAGAACACACCTATTACTGGAAATTAAGTAAAATATTTTGTTTGTTTTTTTATTTCAGATTGTGTATATCCTCACAATGTTCAGTACACAATTAAACACCAAGGACTCGGCTGCACGGCAGGAATTGGTCGTTTCTTGAGCGATCCACAACTGATTTCATTTGCAGTGACCCTCATACTGCTGCTCAAGTGTCTGTTTTCATAACTGATGTGTGCAACTGAACCAGAAGGATGTTTATTTAGAAGTACAGTTCCTCTTCTTAAGAACATTTCCATTTTATATGGGTTGATGGAAGAAAGGTTCCTCCTTCCTTTCTTTCTGCAGACTTTCCCTTTTGAATTTTTGCCAGCTCTTTATTGTCTTCCAGTAACCGACTAAACCATCTTGCTTTGGGTCATCCCACATATCTCTTCCCTTCAAATTTAACTATAATGTCCTCTCTGATAAACTCATTCTCTTCGTTCTTTTTACATCACCAAACCACTGCAATCATTTATATTCTATTAACAAACTTCTTCCCCAAACATTTTATTTTTCATTCTCTTTTTGTTTTTCTCCTAGCACTTCTCAGAAATTTTATATTTAGAAATATAATGCTTTTAGTACATATTTTTCGTGTTATGTGATAGTTTGTAGAAACTGACACAGCAAAAAGAAAAGGGAAGCTAAGCCTGAAACAAGTTATGGAGGTTCATGGGGTTGTGAGAAATGAGTACCACGAATCTTCCTGGAGGTAAAGGGCGGCTAGTGTAAGTCTGAAAACCTCACTGCCATCTGTGAGCTGATTTCTAAAAAATGTGGAAGCCTCGAAGCCTCACAATCTTAGGGGCCTCCACGGCCTGTTACATGAAAATGACATAGTAATTCAAGCATTTACCTATTATTTAAATTAAGCCTTCAACAAATACAATTGTATTTTGTATCTTAAGGTTGTAAGAAACTGAAAAGAAGTTTTATTCGTTTTTAAAATTATTATAGCTCTCTTGCACTACATTCTGATAAATCAGAAAACAGTATTTAAAAACATGAATGTGATTTGTTACACGTTGTGCCAAGAAAATGTAGACCAATTTCATGAAAAAGTAATACATTCATTTTTTTTAGTAAATCTTACGTTTTTTTTATTGTGTACATACGGTATGTGGATTAGTACAGTGCATGTAACTGTGTCCTATCCAATAAAATCCAACACATGGCGATTTGTTATGGTTTTGTTTTGAAAGTGATGAAATCTCCTGGCAATTGGTTGTAATATCCACTAAGTCAGGTCAGGGAAAGAAGGAACACAGATTATCCCCACCTGATGTTCTGTCTTTCATTCCACCTACAGACTCTCTTTCTGTTCTCTGTCTGTTATTGGTGTTGACAGAAAGAAGGGGTTCAACGCAGGGTGATGTAGCAGATGGCAGACTGTAACCCCCAGCATTCCTGTTCATTCTCTCCCTAACCAAAGAGTACCAGAGCAGTTACTTTTTCAGCTTTGGGGCAGGTTTAATGTACATACAGTCCTTCCCTGCAACACTGGCACCAAGGAACCAGAAAAATACAGTACATCTGATTTTCAGTACTGACACTGTCTATGTTTGCTGTCATGGCCTGTTTAATCTGATGTTCAGGTGTTTCTAATGCAAAGACTGCAGTCTCATCAGCGTCTGCTCAGTGAGAGGAACTGGACTTTGCTCTCTGAGAAACGTCAATTCTAATGTGACTAATGTTTGGTCCTTAAAACACATCGTCTGAGATAACAGTCATCAGCACAGGAGCAGATGCTATCATTTGAGCTTCTGGACATGCTCTCTTCCAACCGCCATTTTATTGCTTACATTCTACAAAAGAATTATCTCGATAAAAGCTGCATCTTATTATTATTATTATTGGAGGGGGTGGGTTTCCCCATGCACCGCGACCAGTTGTTGATCTATTGTACGTCCCCCTTTGATATTCTACCAGTCCCCATACCTTGCCGGTACTGGTGCGTGCAATCAGCCCCGTTGAGCCAACGAGGTCGGCCCTCGGTACCTTGATGCTTCCCCCATCTACCAGAGGCATTGGAAACTACTTGGGCGGGAAACTTGCCTAATTTTGCTCAGAGGTCTCCTAGAGATATGAGGATCTTTTACGTGCGGTAAATCTGTGACACGGGACCCACGGCTTAAAGGCCCTCCCGGAGGACTTGTTCCCTGAATTTTTCCGCCCTTAAAAATTCCACGACCTTGAGTCATGAGGTGGGAACGTTACCCCTAAACTACGGAGGCCGCTAAAGCTGCATCTTTCTCGAAGATCATTTTCAGACACCTCACAAAGAAGTTCAATCGTCACATTATTATTCCCGAATGAGGAGATTTCATAGTTACGAAGCTGGGGGAGCCCCCAACTGCATACCTTCCATATAAAGTTTCGTAAACAATTCGTCAGGTGATAAAATGGCTGACACACAGCCACACGTAGATTGACAACAGGAGACATCAGAAACCAGCTTTTCTTCATATTTAAGAAAGGAAAGAAGGTTAATAATGTTAAATCGTTGGGAAATGTGTGGTTTTTATGTCATTTTCGTCTAAAATGTAAAATACGAAAATGCAGAGCGTTACAAATCTGTAATTTTGGGGAATTCCCTCTATCCTCAGAGCTGAAGAGTAAACTAAGTAAAAGAAAAACAGGCGGGCACCACCTGCTTCTTACTTGACTTACTCTTTGACCCGGAAGATGATGGTATTATGTTCCTCCGAAACGCCGGCGAACTTCTACCGAGCTACAAAGCAATAACACGTATATCTCAGAAGAGAGTGTTGTTCACATTCGCAGTTTCACAACCAACGACTGAAATAAAATGTAACCGCTTTCTCACGCATATACGCGGGCGTAGACGAAATATTTCCGCTTGTGAAACATCACAGACAAGATGACAGCGCGCGAACTTTCTCGATTATATTCCACAACTCATTATCTTCACTATTGTCACATAACCTACTAAGAATCTGATATCTGAACTTTGTATATGTCATGTGCAAGTACTGAACACAATCCATTGGTCAGAAAAATTCATACATCCATTATCTTATCTTAAAAAAACGCGTCAACTCAGATTAGGCTATCTAAGCGCAGAGGTACAGCACATCGCTTTCGCATTTCCTCTTGCCAAGGTGTCTGTAGTGAGATCTAGCTCAGGTCAGAACATGAAACACCGCTCTCTTATTACGCCTACTTCTTCAGTTCATCACTGAATTAGCCTGAGAGGCTATAAAACGACTCATCATGAAGCCCACAACACTACTGATTCTGACGTCACTACTGGCAGGTAAGTCTGTACACTGTCACTGCCATGTCACAGGAGTCAAGGGTGACGTATAGACCCACTGCTAGGCAACGACTCGGTTAACATATTTCCGCGGAAGTGTACTCACGCAACAATAAACCATCCATTGCTAGGCAACGGATCAGTATACAAGCCTTCTCAATAGAGGCTGTTTTCTTCGTGGTCCGTGCTGAGGGATTATAAAGGGAGGCGGGAGGCCCCGGTGCCCGAATCAAAGACAGGCAGACTGATTGACCGTCAGTCGCAATGTGACTTGGACTTGGACGTGTGGAGGAGGGGTCGAATACCTCCACCGTGACACTGCGAGTTGTAGGAGGCGACGAAAAGGAAAGTCTCAAATCTGAGATAGTAACATATGGTCGCGAGTCTCAAGGGAATCGGACCCGAAAAAGACTGCGCTGGCAAAACCAGCAGCATATATAAAAGACAGACCCGTCCTCTCGTCAGAGAGGGCGCCCCACAAAAACAAGACCGTAACTGTCAAACAGTAATAAATATCTGGCCATGAAAGACTTACTGACTGAGTGACCGTCAGTCTGCCTGCCTATTTTTTTTATTGCTAGCCCCACAAGACTAAGTCCCTTGTACTGCGGCCACTTCTGGCCTATTGTACCAGCCCCAGATGACAGGTGAGGGTGACTGTGGAGCAACTGGTGGAATGAATATCGGCGGGACTCCTTGGACGGGGATCAGCCCGTCGTCACAAGGCCGCTACCTACACACAGGACAACATAAACACAGAATGAAAGCAGACATCTATGCCTCAATTGGGATTCGAACCCACGATCCAAGTGTTCGAGCGGGCGAAGACAGTTCATGCAGTCGGTTAACACAGAATTATTAAACAGGGCATGAACCGATAAATGAGCAGTTCTAATGAGTCAAACATTTCAGGTTGTGCGGTCGAAATCCATGGACAAGAGAACACGGGACTCACGATCCCTGCGTCGCTCAGGGATTGCTATGGCAACGCAGATCTCTATTCCCGAAGCAAGAGACTGCCGATGACAATGACGACACTTATCGAGTTGGTACGCAAGGTGGAACTCTATAAAGGCGCATACTTCGATCTTCGGACTTTGTCGGTGGCGTTACTGCACAGGTGGGAACTCATCAACACATTGATCCGTTATGGCCACGTGCAAAGCTTACTTTCAGCTGCGCACATTCATAGACCCGTTATCTGGGGCACTCGGTAGCGCAGTTGGTTGAGGCACTATGCTACAAGCCGGAAGGTCGCGGGTTTCATTCCCCATGAGGCCACTGGATTTCTAGTTGGCCTAATCCTTCCAGCCGCACTATGGCCCTGGGGTCGACTCAGCCTCTAACAGAAATGAGTACCAGGAATATTCTTGGGGGTAAAGGGCGGCCGGCGCGTAAGGCTGACAACCTCACCGCCATCTGCTAGCCGGTTGTCTAGAAAATGTGGGAGCCTCGACGTCTCACAACCCTATGGGCCTCCACGGCCTGTTACAGGGATAGCTTTACCTTTTTTCACATTTCTTCTTATTATTATTATTATTAGTATTAGTATTCTATTGAAGAACATATTAGGCCGTGAGCCAGGGTAGCTCAGTCGGTATAGTGATATGCTAAGGGCTCGACGAGTGGGATTCGATTCTCGACAGAGACAAGAGATATTTCTCTTCTCCACAACGTCAAGAGACACTTCGGGGGCCCACCCAGCCTTCTATTTAATGTGTACTGGGGGCTATTTCCCCGGGGAGGGGGGTAAAGCGGCCGGAGTGTAACTTTGACCAGCAACTTCCATCTAGCGCCGAGTTTAAGAATTGTGGAGCTATAACTCTACTCCCCCATACGCCTTTATTGTGTGGTACTTAATTAATTCAGCTCAGAGACATATTTACCTCGTCTTTTTACTTATTAGATCTACTTATGTGCAGATTCTGTCAGCCTTAAATTGTTTCAGACATAACCCCGAAATTCCGCACGAGCATGCCTTTATTTTAAACAAAATACTGGTATCAATATACCGTCGCCACGAACTTTTATATATTACCAACCATGATAGCCTAGAATCGAACCTGGAACCTCTTGAATAAGGAGCAGGTGACCTTATAGCTTCATATGGTGACAGACCTTTTTTATTTCAAGGTTCCGGATGGACGGTATTGAACGTATCCCAGACGTTTCGGAATCTCCTGGCGTCGTGCCCTTCCGGGTAACAGGACATCAGTTTCCCAAGCACAAGGTTCTCTTCCAGCANAATTGACCTAATCCTTCCAGCCGCACTATGGCCCTGGGGTCGACTCAGCCCCTAACAAAAGTGTACCAGGAATCTTCCTGGGGGTGAACGGCGGTCGGCCGGCGCGTAAGGCAGACAACCTCACCGCCATCTGTGACCCGATTGTCTAGAAAATGTGGGAGCCTCGACGTCTCACAACCCTATGGGCCTCCACGGCCTGTTGCAGGGATAGCTTTACTTTTACCTTTACTTCTTCTGTCTGATGGGTACCAGGATCTCCTTATCCAAAGATAAAGCGACCGACCACTCACCTCCACCTAGAGCTGAGGTTAAGAATGTTGGAGCTATACCTCCAATCCCCAATACGTCTTCATGTCGTGGTACTTAATAAAGCACAGAGAAAGCTTTATCTTAACTTTACCACGTGTACCAAATATTCATACAATAAATCAACAGTATTTTTGTTATTATTCTGTCCTGAATACTCTAAGACGATCAGTAAATGGTGAAACATGAGTTTCTAAGCAAATTTTCTAACTCCCACCTTCGGGCAAAGAATCCTGGCAGCGTCCATGCAACCAACGTAAAATATTTAGTTCGCTTGGGGTTCCATTACAAGCAGGTTTTCTTGTCACTTACAGTGTACACTGCACTTCATGCTCTCCAGCGCGGTGGAGCCGTGGGAGCGAGCTGACGAAGACGAGGTGTGTTCCAACAACTTCAACGGCTTTGTAACAGGTGGCAGCAGTAATTCGTTGTGAGTCTCCACAGTATGAATGTTCACCGCAAGAGAAAGCTCAAATCTTAATTCCAGACTGCAATAATTATAAAATCTAAAAGTAATTCTGGTTATTAACGACGTAATTTTCAGCCTGCTTTCCTTATTTTGAAACAAGAAGTTCTGGAAAGAGCCAATCGCCTACTTTACTTTGATATGACGCGGACCACACAGAAAATGAAAAAAAAAATGAGTTGGACATATATGCCCCTCCCACATCAACTTTTGAATGGCTGAACCAATCTTCGTGAAAACTAGTATGTATATCATGACACCTGAGCCAATTTCAACGGCATATCGTACCGTTGCTAGGTTACGGCTCGGTAAAAACGTTACCACCGCAACGAATAAACACGCAACAACAGAAGAACTGTTGGACGCGTCGATTTCTATGCGGTCCGTGACATCAGAGGAAATTATGAGATTAGTTCTTCCCAGAACTTCTTTTTATACCTTCATGAATGTTTATGAATAGGAAACAGCTGATAGCTACTTAATAATGTTTTAGAGGGATAATTTAGTTTTCAAGGTTGTCCAGCTGTTACAAAATAAAATTCCACTTGTTCTTGCACTAAAAGCGATTTCCTTCACAAGTTTTAACATCCATTTTCTGAGCCACAATTTCAATGTTCGGAGGGGGCCCGACGTTTCGAAGAAACATATCGACATATCGTCTCCACGTTTATAGTCGAAGAGAAGCTAAGCTCAGCTAACCGTCTGTTTCTGCTGCTTTCTTGACTGTCCTAATCTTTGAGGATGAAGATGAATGCGATATGTTCCTCCGAAACGCCGGGCTCTCTCCGAACTACAAGGCGTTACAGTCAATCATTTTAACCGTTTTCAGTAGTCGAGATCCTGACTATCCAAAGGCGAATCTTCAGAGCTCACAAGTGAGTCGTTGTCCTATAGAAGATGGCGTGGTTCATACCTCGAGGTGGGGCACGGTGAGTCCCGGGACTGTGCTGGCAGCAATAGCAGCGGCGCTCGAACCCCAGCAGGTGCAAATCTCTCTCCTGCTAAACGAACCGGTTCAAACTAACGACACAGATAAACTGGAGAAGTTCGAACGTTACAGACAGATGACACTATTGGCGCAACTGCACAACACGTGGGCTGCTACTCTGGCAGGTAACAACAGCGTTTGTTGCGTACGAAAAGATTGTTAAGTGATGGTTTATCGGGTAGAGACAAAACTATGTNAATTGGCCTATAATTAATCATATTTGTACTGTCTCCTTTCTTGAATATTGGTTTCACCATAGAATATTTTAAACGACTAGGAAAGATTCCTGATCTTATTGATTTATTACAGATATAATTTAGTGGAGCACTAATATAGGGAGCACTAATTTTTAAAATCCTTGTGGAAACCTCATCATATCCATACGAGTTTTTTGTTTTCAGAGATTTAATGATTTTTTCAATTTCTCTAGTGGAAGTATATTTGAGTTTTATATTTGGGAAAGAATTTGGAAATGATTTTGTCATATAGCATTTTATATCTTCCTCATTATTAGAGCATTTTTTGTTATTACTTCTAATATCTTGGATAATTTCTTCAGCCTNAAAAAAAAGTCATGCAATATATCGATATTAGTAACAATAAATACACATTGACACAGATCTAGAGGTTTGGCCCTGGCTACTCACCGCAGAGTCCCGGAAGACTTAATGTGAGTTCAATGACGAACGAAATGGCATTGGAAGAGGTTATCTGAGTTCCTTTGGGTTTCCACCATCATTATACTATTGTGCCATATTCATTTAGTCTCAGGCCTTCATTTCTGACTCGTCACTTGCCTGGTTACAGAGTAAGGATGTGAGTTTTATTATAAATCTACAGTACAAACATTGCTACATAATCGGCTCACACATGGCGGTGAGTTTGTCAGCCCTTTACCCCTAGGAAGATTCCTGGTAGTCATTTCTGTTAGACGCTGAGGCGACCCTAGGGACATGGGGTGGCTGGAAAGATTAGGTCAATTTAAAAACAATGACCTCGAGGCTTCCACATTTTCTAGACAATCGGCTCACAGATGGTGGTGAGTCTGCCAGCCTTACGCGCCAGCCGGCAGCCCTATACCCCCAGGAAGATCCCCGGTGCCCATTTCTGTTAGAGACTGAGTCGACCACAGGGCCACAATGCGGCTGGAAGGATTAGGTCAAATTAAAAATCCAATTACCTCTTCGGGAATATAATCCACGACCTTCCGGCTTCAAGAATGCAGTAATATTTACATCCACCGTCACGAGGCACTCAAACCTCACATGTATAAATCATGATTACTGGTTGCCAGGCGACCTAGCAGAGGTGGCTGTGTACCAGGGCCCCAGACTGAAGGGCGACCTCTACCTCGGGCCGGGCGGTACGTGGAACGACACGAAGATTCCTCGTGTGCACTACATGGACCAAAGGAACGGAGGTTTTTGGCAGATGACAGACGCTGAAGCCAGGGGAGGTATCGATGGTACGTATTGCTGGTCGGTCCTACACTCTTCATATTTACGTCATCACAATCTTTCACGTTTCATTACTCAGGATTACCAACATATTCCGAGCAGCTGCTATCTCGACTGAGGGTTTCTATGATTTCTTCAATCCCTTCGGGCAAATTCCGGGATAATTCTTCAAATTCAGATAAGATCGCTTCCCTCCACATCTTTTCCACTAAGGCTGGGACCACACGAGCGCACGAAGTACGTCCGTTGCAACGAACGTACTTTATGACGGACGTTGCTGAGGAAACAACACAGTTGCAGAATGCGGTGCGTAGTTTTTTGTCTGCAATGGAGCCAGAAGAAAGCGTATCATTTGCCTCTCTTGTTTATTTCTACAACGGACGTCACAACGTTCGTTACAACGGACGCATTTTGTGCGCTCGTGTGGCCCCAGTCTAAACAGACTGAACCATTGATATCGTCGTTAAATAAACAATACATACAGAAGGAAACAAGCACGTCAGATATCCTGTATGATGATTTACCAGCATTACATCGAGATAATAATATTCTGACATGACGACTGAAAGCCGGTGTCACAGTAAATGTTCATTGTTAGACAACGACTCGGTAAACAAGTACCCGTTGCAATCGAAGTATTGTTGGGCTATAACCATGGAAACGGTGTTTCCTGTTGGGTCCGCCCCTAGGCTATATAACGAGGATCCCAGGCCGGTTGAGAAGTAATTGGGGGAGTCTCTTGAGATGATTGAGAAGAGATGACAAGAAAGGAATTAGGTTATGAAAAGAGGACTTCATGTGTGCTGCAGTTTCAGCGATACTGTTATAATTACTGTGTTGAAATCCATTGCCAGGATACGACCAGTGAAGACTGAGAACACTAATACGTGTGTAGATCAGCGATAGCGCTGTATTGCCTGGATTCTCGAGTTGCGAGCGTGTAGGTACTATAAAATCAATCATCCAATCCAAACCCCGTCAANCGTTAAATAAACAATACATACAGAAGGAAACAAGCACGTCAGATATCCTGTATGATGATTTACCAGGATTACATCGAGATAATAATATTCTGATATGACGGCTGAAAGCCGGAGTCACAGTAAATGTTCATTGTTAGACAACGACTCGGTAAACAAGTTCCCGCTGCAATCGAAGTATTGTTGGGCTATAACCATGGAAACGGTGTTTCCTGTTGGGTCCGCCCCTAGGCTATATAACGAGGATCCCAGGCCGGTTGAGAAGTAATTGGGGGAGTCTCTTGAGATGATTGAGAAGAGATGACAAGAAAGNTCTTGAGACGGCAATCGAAGATGACTGAGAAGAGATGACAAAAAAGGAATTAGGCTATGAAAAGAAGACTTCATGTGTGCTGCGTTAAGTAACGCATGATCCAATCAATCAACCAATCTCGCAGTCCTCTGTGTCATGGTCTTGTAGATGGACATTCTGTATCCGTCTTTGGTGTCTAGAGACANTTTTTGTTCAACATTCACAGTCATCTTACCATCTTATTTCGTGCTATATAAGTGTAACCTGTTCAAATGAAAGAGGAGTGTTAAGTAACGCATGATCCAATCAATCAACCAATCATATTCAACAATTACAGGCAGGAACCAATTTTAAGCATAACAGTACTTCTCGCAGTCCTCTGTGTTATGGTCTTGTAGATGGACATTCTGTATCCGTCTTTGGTGTCTACAGACGGAAAGATTACGTTTCTCCTGAATGTTGTCAACCATCTACAAGACTATACACGTCATACTAATTCGTCACAGTGGGGGAACTCAATTCTCATAAAATTGGTAAAGTTGTCCCTGTGCTTAACTAATTAAGTAGTACACCATGAAGGAGTATGGGGGCGTGGATGTATAGAACCATATTGTCTTGACCTCGGTACTGGTTGGAGGTGAGTGGTCAGCTCCACGCCCCTGAAGCTTTACCCCAAGGAAAGAGCCCCCGGTACCCACTGGATAGGAGGTTGTGTGGATCCCAGAGCCGGTCTGGAAGACGTGGAGAAAATAAAATTCTTGATCCTAACGGGACTTGAACTCCGACCCCTCACTCGTGCAGCCCGTAGCCAGTCGCTATACCGACTACGCTCAATTCTCATAAAGGTACAAGAAACTGGCCTTAACAGATAAGAGGTTTATTTTAAGGCGCAAAATGGTGGACTTGTCTGCAGGGCTGATCTTGTCAGGGGCAGTGCAGAGCTGGAAAGAGCAGCTCAGCCGGTTGCGTCTCTCTCAGCTGCTAGAAATGTACTACTCGGACCGCGGAGTGAACTTCGACACGCAGTACCGCGCATGCGAGCGTCAGGCAAGGCTCGCGGAGATACGAGAGACGAGCGACTTGCTGCTGATACAGGTAAAGTAGCGACATCGCATGATAATGAAGACCATGGAGCCGATTTTGAAGCCAAGATCAGTATTTTGGGAGCGTCAGGCCAGGCTGAAGAAGGCGTCGGAAGCTAAGTAAATTGCTGCAGATTCAGTGAAACCTGTACTACCAACGTAAACCTATCCCTGTAACAGGCCGTGGAGGCCCATATGGCTGTGAGACGTCGAGGCTCTCACATTTTCTAGACACTCTACTCACAGACGGCGGTGAAGTTGTCAGCCTTACGTGAAGGCCTCCTTTTACCCACCAAAAAGATTCCTGGTACAAATTTCTGTTAGAGGCTGAGTCGGCCCCAGGGCCATAGTGCGTCTGGAAGGATTAGGCCAATGACCTCATCGGGGATCGAACCTGCGACCTTCAGGCTTGTAGCATAGTGCCTCAATCAATTACGCTACAGCGTGTCCCCATGTTCTTATTTAAAGCAGTGTTCTTTATACACATAACACACCTAATTCGAGGTAATGACTGGCTTACCTGCACTAACTACGGACGTAAGAAATGTCCCAAAATGAATCAAGACCCAAACAAACACCCCACAAACGGAGAGATACATTGTTTCTGCTTTGGGAATGAGGAACAATCCTCATCAGTTAGTGACATAGACCGTTACGTCATCATTAGAAAGTTGCTAGATTCTATTCTCAACAGATTTCCGGTGTTCATAAGCCGGTGGTAAATTCAAGCATACTTGCAGAAGACTTTTCTTTCCGTAAGGTTGCCTACACGAGATATGACGTACCCTGGTTCGTAGAGTAAATGGACTTAACATTACTGCTCTTTATGCTGTGACAAACGTCAAAATGTAGGGAACTGTACTCTGAAATATGACACCGTGTCATCTGGTAGTTCCCCGACGTCTCGGAGGGACATACTTCGTCCATCTTCTGGGTGTAGAATTAAGCTAAACAACTAACAGCAAGTAGGCATCAAGCAGAGAAGAGCTTCGTTCGTTTTTTAAGTTGGTTATTAAACAACGCTGTTAATGCATAGATTATATAGCGTCAATGGGAGGATGATTAATTAATGTGAGGCATTTTTTTTATTGCTAGTGGGGTGGGACTAAGTCGCTTGTACTGCGGCCACTTCTGGCCTATTGTACCAGCCCCAGATGATAGGTGAGGGTGATTGTGGAGCAATTGGTGGAATGAAGATTGGCAGGAGAAACCGAAGTACTCGGAGAAAACCCGCCCCAGCGCACAAATCCCACTTGACCAGGCCCGGGATCGATCCCCGGCCGCCGCGGTGGAAAGCCAGCGACTAACCGGTTGAGCTATGGCGCGCCCTTTGTGAGGCAGTTCGTGGAGTAAAAATTTACAGGGGGATAACACACCCCAGTGCCACTTTTTCAACCATAAATTCCATAGAACCTGACTTGGAATCGAAACTAGGACGTCGCGATGAAAAAAGGCGGAGACTAACCACCTGGGTTACTGTTAGTTGTTTGGTTTACTCTTCGACCCTGAAGATGGAAATAATATGTTCCTCCGAAAGGTTGGTTGACTTCTACCAGACTATAATGTGTCATGTCCCAAAAGATAGTATTATTCAGTGTCACCGATGTGAATACCTCCAACCTAGCAGAAGCTGATGTTTACAGCTTTGTCCCTCTTTCTCACAGACCATAAACTTCGCGCGGGTGCTGTCCTACAAGTCTCCAGAGGCCGTCCAGATCTCGGACGAAAAGCTCGAAGAATTCAGCTCGAAAGCCCTTCAAGCATATAACAGTCATCTGTGTAAGTCTGTTCCTAGCGGCCTCCGTAGTCTAGGGGTAACGTTCCCACCCGGCGGAGGTCGTGGAATTTTTAAGGGCGGAGAAAAATTCAGGGAACAAGTCTTCCGGGAGGGACTTTAAGCCGTGGGTCCCGTGTCGTAGATTTACGGCACGTAAAAGAACCTCATGTCTCTAGGAGACCTCTGAGCTAAATTAAATTTTCCCGCCCAAGTAGTTTCCAATGCCTCCGGTAGACGGGAAAAGTATTAGGTACCACTGCCAGATGAGGACCGACCTCGCTGACAGAAAGGGACTAATTATCAGATACCACTGCCAGTAGAGGACCGACCTCGCTGGCAGAAAGGGGCTGATAACGGGCATCAGTACCGGTAGGGTATGGAGACAGTAGAAATTAGAGGGGGTGGCACAATGGACCAATAACTGGTCTAAGTGCATGGGGAAACCCACCTCCTCCAACAGTGAATGAATGAATGAAGTCTGTTTCTACTCTCTGACTGCACGGTGTCCTATACAAATACACTGTACACAAACAGACGGATGTTTCTGCAACATTGCTGGGTTCCTTTTGCCTGTAGTTTTGTACATATATGAAGCTTGGTCTCTGACATTAAGGGAGGTACATAGACTGAGGGTGTTTGAGAACAGGGTGTTGAGAATATTTAGACCGAAGAGAGATGAAGTGACAGGAGGTTGGAGAAAACTGCATAATGAGGAGCTTCATAACTTTTACTCTTCTCCAAGTATAATTAGAATGATCAAGTTAAGGAGGATGCGATGGACAGGACATGTAGCACACATGGGAGAAAAGAGAAATGCCTATAGGATTTTGGTGGGAAACCCAGAAGGGAACAGACTACTGGGAAAACCTAGATATAAATGTGATAGTAATATTAAAATTGAACTTAAAGAAATGATATGGACTGGATTGAGCCCGAAGGTTCATTACCGTGTTCACAAGAGCCCTCCACTGGTCCCTATCCTGAGCCAGATCAGTCCAATCCATACCACCCCATCCTATATCTCTAAGATCCATTTTAATATTATTCACCAACCTACGTCTTGGTTTTCCCAGTGGTATCTTTTCTTCTGGCTTTCCCGCATACATTTTTTGGCGCCTTTGTATATATGGCTGCAGCCCTTTGGCGCGTTCACTGTGTGACCCTTTGTTACAGCCAGTCTACTGAGTGCTCTTCACTGTAACGATCCCTTACCGTTCCCCAGAGTGCACCTGGACGTCATTCTGGATGGTACCTGGACAACATATGAAGCCATGCAAGTCCTGGCGTGAGTACAGTCAGATGACACATGATCGACACCGGAACTCACAGCAGCAAATAATGTCTACGGGGTTTTCCCCATCTTATATGCTATTTAACGACGCTTGTCAGCATCAGATTATACAGCGTCAGATGTGGAGCAGCTGGTGGGACGGGAATTGGCAGGGGAAACCGAAGTGCTAGGAGGAATTCCATCGCAGTAGCACTTTGTCTACCAAAGTTCGCTTGCGGACTAAAAGCCACGGCGTAAAATAATACAATGGCGGTTAAACAAAAATATGTTTAGCTTTCGCCCTGGTGGCGATAACTACTGAACCATTAGAGCAAGTTATGTGACATTTGGTACAGAAATATATCGTAAACACGCCTACGTATTAGGTATTAGACGTCGTTTGTAAGTCGACAGATCTTTGAGGTTATGTCCGAAAAATGTATGGTTCTTAGAATTTATACTTGAAAACAAGTTGACAGACGTACAACAACAAAAAACAATAATAATCCAAGCATATATATCATAGACAAAAATCCGTCCGTCGATCTATTCGTTGACTCTCTATGACAGAGAAAATGAGAAGTCAGGAGACAGTGGAGGCTGGTGGAAGTTTTGCAGATACCCTTGCGGTTCATGTTTGCAGGTACCTTGCGCAGGAGGCAGACGTGTCGTATTATGGAAGCAGCATGGCAGTTATGAATGGAGAAGATGCAACCTGGATTCTTCGTGAAACACACAACGCCTCTGATTTATTCAGCCTTCGAAACAATACAGAAAACTCCTCGGATGTGACATGTAAGAAATACAGACAAGCCTGGAATTGTCAGGCTATTTAATTAGAAATGGGTGACGCTTACAAAGAAGTTCTGTACATGACGTAAGCTTAAGTCATTCAAAATCAAAATATATTGCAAAGTTAAATATTCCCATAACACAGTTAGGAACTACGTCATACAGAACACCTGACCTCCAGTCATCGGTAAATCTGATCATGAGAGAACCAATAAACCAGCCTCTCTGGCTCAATCGATTGACAGCTATGTAAAGTATTAAGTTAAACACGTTGACCTTTTCACTTTTATTTCCTCAGTTAAATTATAAAGTTTCACGACACATACTTCGGAAATCACAGTAAAAAACTTGTATTTATAAAACCCAAACGCCTCTGTGGTCTAGTAGTCAGATTTCCTGGCTACAGATTCAGAGGTCTCGGGTTCGATTCCCGGCGCTACCACATTTTCTGAGAAGTAGTGGGTCTGGATCGGGGTCCACTCAGCCTCGTGATGATAACTGAGGAGCTGTTTCAAGGAAATACCGGCTCCGCTCTAGAAAACCGAAATTAACGGCCGTGGGGATCCGTTGCCCTGACAACGAGACACCCTCTATCCGCTAAAGTTGGCACTAACTTCGTCGACAAGCGGCGGTCGCTCAGTCGGTATAGTTCGCTTGCGGGCTAAAAGCCACGGAGTTTGTTTTGTTTGTTTTTAGGGCCAAGAAGCCTGAATTTAAAACTGTCGTTAGCCACATTCAGCAGCTATCTGGCTGAGAGGCTGGCGGAACAAAGAAGAAGAAATGTAATTGGTGGTCCTAGTCACGTGATCCTCGTCCTCGGATACACAGCCACAATTAGTGACAGGGACCACAGAGAAAGCGTTCAAATAATTTCCAGATTCAAACAACAAAATCCAGGTACTGTTCTTCACATTAATAGATAAACTAAACTTGCTACATTAGATTACGGTTAATAGAAATACTTTTAAAATATTCTTAGAAGTTTCGTTAGCCATTAGCTAAAACATACTTTGTAATTTCTCTTCAGTTCGTGGTTTCTGTTCAGAACACGACAGCGCCTAGATCAGTGTTCCCAACAGTCCGGTGCTCGAGCCACGCTGTCGCTCTAGAATTAGAAATAAATACAAGAAGTTCTGCGAAGAACTAATCGCCTACATTCCTTTGACAGGACACGGACCGCACAGAAAGCGAGGCATCCAACAATTCTATTATAGTGTGTATATTCACTGCCACGGTAACGTTTTTACTTAGCTGTTGCCAAGCAACGACAGGAAGGATACGCATACAGAAACATAGACTGATGGGATGGATTTATGAAGTACGCCGTTGAGATGGCTCAGGTGCCATGATACACACACCAAGTTTCGTAAAGATCGGTTCAGGCTTTCAAAAGTTGATGTGGAGAGGGGGGTTCACAGACACAGAGATATCATAAGCCTCCTTTTATTTTTTCAAACAAAGGAGAGTAGGCTAATAATTTTGCGGTACATCGGCCGAGAATATAAATTCTAGATACTGCAGCGTCCAGTGATTGGTGAACAGGGAATTTGATAGGGTTTGCAAGGAAGCGGTCGGGGCCAAACAGAGATTTTCCTGGAGGGACTGAGAAAAACGGCAAAGAACCTCAGATTAGTTGAGGCTACCCGAATACAACTCCGCACACAGCAACGTGCTCGGTCATTTCTCGTCTTCTTGCGCACGTCATGGAGCAGGCAGTGCGCGCATTTCAGAGTTCAACGGTTCCCACTGGATTCTAAGTCGGTTGCTGGCGAAGGGAACATTCTCTGGCCTGCCGACAGTCGAACTGCTGAATCCTAGCTAACAGTCAGTCGCTTTAATGACATACACGCCCACACATAAGATGATTCAAGACTTAAAAACAAATCTTCATGTTTTTCAGATGTAAGATTCGTTTTCCTGGCGTCAAATATCAACCACCTCCGCTTCAAAGAACTATCCACGATTGACCCTTCCTACCCTGATGTAACGATCGCTTTACCTGACAGCAAGGTGGAAACAGTAGTCACCAAAATCATCGAAATTATCACCACAAGTAAGTAGGCCTCAAAATGGGGTGAGGGTAGGGAGGAATCAAAAAATAAAGTTATCCCTGTAACAGGCTGTGGAGGCCCAAAGGGTTGTGAGACGTCGAGGCTCCCACATTTTCTAGACAAGCGGCTCATAGATGGCGGTGAGGCTGTTAGCCTTACGCACCGGCCGCCCTTTACTCATTTCTGTTAGAGGCTGAGTCGACCCCAGGGCCATAGTGCGGCTGGAAGGATTACGTCAATTGAAAAATCTAATCACCTCATCATAGTCGGTATAGCGAGTGGCTACGGGCTTCACGACTGAGGGGCCGGAGTTCGAGTGCCGGTAGGGTGAAGAATTTTCTCTTCTCCACGTCGTCCAGACCGCCTCTGGGGTCCACCCAACCTCCTATCTAATGGGGGCTCTTTCTCCAGGGGTACAGCTGCCGGGGCGTGAAGCTGACCATTCACCTCCAGTTAGTAACGAGGTGAAGAAAATGTGGATCTGTACTTCCACTCGCCCATACGTCTTCATGGCGTAATGTTTAATTACTTAAGCGCAGGGACAACTTTATCTTGTTCACCTTTTGCGTAATGCAAATGGTATTTACGTGTTCTATTATCAGCTGTTTTTCTCGTTTAATCGGTTCTGACTTTTGTCTTTCTCTACTTCCGTCAAGTTCCCGGAAGAATCACGGGCGGCTACTGTGACGGCAGCAGTACTGAGACCAGAAGAAACGGTTTCGAAGGTTACGTCACAGCTGGGTTTCCGCTTACGTACCGCATACATCCATTGTACCTCGAGCACTCAGGTGACGTCACCTTGACGGTAAGCTGATTTTCTAAGCTTACAGGTGCCAAACATCGTGGCTGAAATCTGAACTAGGACGAAGACAGGGGAACGCCGTAGCGTAGTTGGTTGAGGCACTATGCTATAAGCCGGAAGGTCGCGGGCCTAATCCTTCCAGCCGCACTATGGCCCTGGGGTCGACTCAGCCTCTAACAGAAATGAGTACCAGGAATCTTCCTAGGGGTAAAAGGCCGGTTGGCGCGTATGGCTGACAACCTCACCGCCATCTGTGAGTCGATTGCCTAGAAAATGTGGGAGCCTCGATGTCTCACAACCCTATGAACCTCCGGAATACAAAGTACGTACTATGAAGACAATCTCAAGAGTTCGAGTTGGCCTTTTTCGCTTAGTGGGGGGTGGAGTCCAGCTGGGTCCACTCGGCACGGCGACCACTGATTGGCCTATTGTACCTGCCCCGGGTGATTATGATGGAGAATCTGGTGGAATGAAGATTGGCAGGGGAAACCGAAGTACTCGGAGAAAAGCTGTCCCAGCGCCACTTTGTCCACCACAAACCCCACTTGACCATACGTAAGTAAATTGCAAGAAAGGTGTACAGAACTACGTGCCCTGAAACCGACTTGTGTACATAAACAAACGCCTCACTCAAGCTATCCTCCACTCACCACTCACACCTATTGGTGCCCTTAGGCAAAAAATAACATAAATTAAAGTTATTCTTGGGTTTAATTTATTAAATACAACGCTATGAAGATGTATGGGGGAAACGGAGGCATACCCACACCATTCTTGACCTCAGCACTAGATAGAGAGGAGTGGTCAGCTTCAATCCCCGGCCAGTTTACACCCCAGAACAGGTCTTCACACTGTAGAGTAGAGAAAAACATCGAACCCCGGCCATCCAGCTCGTCGCTATACCGACTGAGCTATCGCTGCTCCGTAGTGGTACCCTTAGACAGCTCACAGATACCGCTCGACCTCACACTGCCATGGCGAATTAATTCCATACTGCATATTGCAATCCGCTTGTCATGCAATCATTCAAGCTTTAGCCGCTAGATAGCAGAAGTGCCTTCTTTTCTTAAACATACCACAGACGACGCAATAGAGAAATGTTTTTCAAACTATGTGCTGCGAAACCTGTCTGGTTCACAACCTGCGGTTCTTCGCATATGTTTTGTCATACAGTTTTTCTTGTGAACTCCAAAAAGTTTCGTTTTTGCAGATTCTGGCACGTGACGCCATACAGTCCGGTAGATCTTACCGGCGTTTCGGAGGAACGTGTCATAACCCAAATAATAACTAACAGGAATTTCGGGCAAGGAGTTAAACGTCGTTAGAAATGGCTATAAATCACGATATGAAGTCGTTCTCCTTACGTAACTACGGCTGCACACGTCTAAATGCGGAATTGAGCAACAAACAACTCGCGCCACGCACACACTTAAAGCAACTGACGCCTCCAGCTCAGAAGTCAGAAATTAAGAATTTCATGTTTCGCAACAGTTGTCTTCAAACAGAAATTCCACGGCAGCGGGGCGCCGGTTTGGCCTGTCCTGGCTCGTCTGTAGCCCTGGGAAGGAGGGCCGAAGCCGGGGACTGTGAGGGCACCGTTAGGAGACTGTGGTGCTATTAAATAACTGAGCCAGGTTCTGGTCCACACGGCGGTAGCTACGAAAATTTCTATCTTACGGGATGTGACGCCGTGTATTCTGGTAGATACTGATCAACGCTGTCTTCCGAAACGTTGGTAAATACAAAACTACACGGTGTTACATCCCAGAAGTCATAGCCACCACCGTGAGAATTCTAAATTTCACATAAACGGTCCCTTGATTGGCTCATGTATGATTTGCTGTAGAATTAGTCGACACGTTGCTCCGAAACGTCGGGATCTATCCCAAACTACTCGGTGTTACAAGCCAGAAAACTGTACTCTTCGGATAATAATTCAAATACTTTGTAGTTCCAGGGCAGTGGTCACGGGAATCTACGCGCATGCGTGTCACGTGACCGGGGAAGTACCGGGACGGACTGCAGCGAGGTGAAGAACCTAGAAGAGATGGCTCTCAAGATCTCCTCGCCTTGCGCGAACTACGCGTACCAGTGCCCGCCAGTGTACCTGACCATCACTGTAACAAACACCTTGACGCGCTGTACAGGTAGGCTGCAGTCAACAACTGAAATCTTATGGCATCCGTGAATGAACGTATGGGGCCTTCCTCTAAGGCTGGGGCCAGACGCGCGTTCTCTTTACGGTCCGTGTGCTGACGTGAAAATGAGATGGGGAGCAGAACCCACAGAGATTAACACGCGTGGCCTCACGGAAGTACTAACTGCGCTGTGTTCTCAAGGTCTCTTGCAATCGAATGCATCATGCTCTATTTCAGACTGAAAAAGAAAAGAAGAAAAGTTGTCCCTGTGCGAAATCAATTAAGCACCACGCCACGAAGACTTATCGTTAACTCCACCGTTCTTGACCTCGGCACTAGAGCTTCACGCTCTGACCGGTTTACCGGAGGATGCCCATTTCATAGGAAGCTGGGTGTGCCCCAGAGACGGTCTAGACGCTGTGAAAAAAGAGAAATATCAGTGGCCCTTCCTGAAATCGAACCCCGGTCGTCCAGCCCGTAGCTATACCGACTGAGCTCTCCCGGCTCTGTTGCGTTTGTCTCGGACTACTAACAGCTTACCCCGTGCGCACATCTGTAAGTTACGTGGACCGAATGGACAATTTGCTTTAATACACATTGCCGGATAGCGCAGTCGGTATAGCGACTGGCTACGGGCTGGACGAGGGGTCGGAGTTCGAGTCCCGGTAGGGTCAAGAATTTTCTATTCTCCAAGTCGTCCGGGCTGGCTCTGGGGTCCACCCAGCCTCTTATCCAATGGGTACCGGGGTCTCTTTCCACAAGGGTAAAGCGGAAGCAGCCTAAAGCTGACCACTCACCTCCAACTAGTGCCGCGGTCAAGAAAATGTGGAGCTATACATCCACTCTCCCGTACGCCTTCATGGCGTAGTGACTTTTATATCCAGTGAATTGATGGTGAGCGAATCGGTAGAAATCAAAGAAAGGTCCCACGGTACCTCCTCAGGTGAGCATGAAGTACAGTAGTACATCTGATGTTTATTCACACCAAATCTCACTTTTATACAACTGTCATTTTGAGAACATAAACATCTCCCGAGAGGGAGCAGTCGCCTGGAGAAGAGAAAATTAAACTTCTTATAAAGGTCATCAGTCTTCAGTTAACCGTACCAAATTCATGTTTTTGTTCGAGATGTATTGCGTTTTTGGACTTTGCCCATCATCCGGTTTCAGAAACTGAATGTTTCCGCCCTCAGGCGAGGGGGTGATAGAAACCGGCTCTGTTGAGTCCGTTAGAAAGAGCTAACCTCAATCACTGGACTCAACAGAGTGTTTCTCATCCCCTCACCTGAGGATGGAAACAGATCCAGTTTCCGAAACATTGTGTCTTTCAGAATACCAGATGATGGACAAAGTCCAAAAACCCAATAATCTTGAGTTTCATACACCATCGGCAGAAGTCTTTAGAATTTACTTAACAATTTCGAGTGATTTTTTAAACAAACTCCGTGGTTTTAGTCCGCAAGCGAACTATATCGACCGAGCGACTGCCGCAACGAATCCCCACGGCCGTTAATTTTGTTTTTGTAGACCGGAGCCGCTATTTCCTTGAAATAGCTTCTCAATTATCCTCTTCATCTGTAGCCAGGGACTCTGACCACTAGAGCACAGAGGTGGTCGTATTAAAAAAAAAAAAAAACTAAATGGAAATCAGTAGTCAGCTTCACGGCCTAGCCAACTTAAGCCCCTGCTGTCCATCAGATATGAACGAAACGGACATAACCTTCCCATAATCGCTTATTTCAGCAGTTTCTGATGAAAACGGGGCATGAAATGCATTACAGCAATAGACGCAAATAAAATGAAATTATGATGTAACATTCACCTTGGCCTCTGGCCTGGATAGCGTTTGGATTCTTCAAGAAATTCTTGACGTCAAAGGGTGAGGATGCATTCAGCGACGTGTATTAAAATGGTAAACCCTCCTCCAACGTGAAGTCGGTTATACGCGTGAAAATAGAAGCAAACAATTATCTGCAGAACGCAGAGAATTCGACTATATGCGGTCTGCTAAGCACTCCGTTGTAGCAAAAAGCTACAGAGAATTTGGTTTTTGATATGTGCCTGTACAACCAATTTGGTTTGTTTTATTCAGCATACAAAAGAGTAAAGCTATCCCTGTAGCAGGTCGTGGAGGTCCATATGGTTGTGAGACGTTGAGGGTCCTACTTTATCTAGACAATCGGCTCACAGATGGCGGTAAGGTTGTTAGCCTTAGGAGCCGGCCGCTCTTTATCCCCAGGAAGACTTCTGGTATTCGTTTCTGATGGAGGCTGAGTCGACCACAGGACCATAGTGCGGCTGGAAGGATTAGGTCAATTGAAAAAATCCACCTTATCGCGAATCGAACCCGCGACCTACCGGCTTGTAGCATAGTGCCTCAAGCAACTACGCTACCGCGTGCCCCGCCTGTTCCAGTACCGCATTCTCCAACAAGAAAGTTGACTGTTAAAGAACAGAATGAGTGGAAGATTCCACCATGATTTCCAACTGGAAGAATGCTAAGGGGTATGCAATCCCTTTAGACAAGCGTCTCGCTGCAGATGGACGTGGCTTGCAGCAGGTTCACAAACTGGCAGAGGCCCTTTATATCGTTGATAGAAAGTCACGTGAAGATGTGGAGATGCGAGCCAGGCTGGAGAAAAAGTTAGAACAGAAGCAGGAGGAGAAAAATGAGGAACATCTGCGACAACTTGCGCAGAAGGCCAGAGAGGAATGGGCTGGCATCAGAATTCAAGCGGCTGCCACAGATAAAGATGAAGAGGCTAGAGAACGTGATCAGCTGCGTTATGAACGCCACAAAGGTCGTCAGCGTGAACGCAACACTGCAAGAGCTGCTCCAGACAAAGAGGTCGACGCTGCAGCGGGAACGGGAACGAGACATCAGTGGGCAGATTGAACTGGGTTTGCCAGCCAAGTTCAGTTTGACCAGTGTTTGTTCAACACTACAAAGGGCATGGACTCTGGCTATGGGGATGAGGAATCATAAAATGTGTATGACAAACCGTGGCGTGAGAGTGGAACCCGTGGTGCACATACCTACCGCCCTAGTCGGAACTTGGACAAGGATGTGTATGGAGATGGTCTCGACAGGTTGGATCAAAACAAATCCGTTTGTGCCTGATAAAGGGTTCAGCGGTGCTGATCGTACTGCTACCAGAAGTGGACCTGTTCAGTCTGAGAAGGAAGAGGAGGATCCGATTGGCTTGGGCAAATTCTTGACACAGGCTAAACGTGCCAGCAAGCGTCCCAAGGTTGGCCGTGATCGACGATAAGAACGTCATAGGCGTAAACGACAGGAATAGTATAGGGTGTAGGGATACAAACAGTCTGTCACTATAAGAAATGAATATATTGTATTTGTGGTGAAGTTGTTTTAATTGGATTCAGTGAATTGAAAATGGCCGGTCACGGTAGCCGAGCGGTCTAAGGCATGAGCTGTCTTCGCTCGCTTGGAAACCGGGATCGTGGGTTCGAATCCCACTCAGGGCATGGATGTTTAGTTTGTGTGTGAGCGTTTTTCTGTCTTTGTATACAGGTAGAGGCCTTGCGACGAGCTGATCACTCACCCAAGGAATCCTACCGAATGTGTAAGATCTAGAAAAACTGAAGTGAACGGAGAAGTTCATGGAGGTAGGCCTAGGCTCACTGGGGCTGTAGTGCCAAGGGGGGGAAGAAAGAATTGAAGATGAGAATTTATCTAGTGTTGCAATCAGCGATTTCCAAGAGACAGAGGCAATATATCCCTCTGAAATGTTGGTCTGTCTCCGAACTACACGGCGTTACAGCCCAGATGTACAACATAGACACTGTGGTGAGAACCTCAAATCCATAAATATGTTACATACTATCGTAGGACTGAAAGATAACAAAATGTGTGCGCAACAAAATCACGTGTCCTGCGCAGTAAATTTGGTCTTTAAATTGCGTTGAATTAAATCTGTCGTAAATTCCAAAAGTCATATCATCTACTAATATAAAAATTACCCATATATCATTAATTTATTTTAATAAGAACTGGTACATTAATAAAATTAAGTCCATTTACTACACTCTGTCTCTCTGCTTTGGGCCTTGGCCGCTTTTAGGACCCCTTGTACGGGAGATCAGCTCGTCGCAAGGCGGCTACCTACACATAGAAAAATACAAACAGAATAAACGAACACAGACATCCATGCCTGGAGTGGGATTCGAACCCGCGACCCCAGTGTTCGAGCGGGTGAAGACAGTTAATGTCTTAGACCGTGCATCCACTGTAATCGGCTCATTTTCTACTCACTCAAACACAATCATTTCTTAAGAATGGTAAAACAACCCCTCATACGACCCAGAAGTCTCCACATTATATCCCGAAATAAAATTACAGTGAGCTACATGTTGAATTAGGTTTAGCACTCCAAAGTAAAACAGCGAATACAATTTGTGTACACTAGAGTTGTGTGACGAATTCCGTTAAGACAGGCGAGTTACGATAAATGCATCGAGGCACGAGATTTCAAACTTATTCACACTGCACAGGATACAGACACACTTTAAAGAAAGTGAAATTGTACTCACCATACATCCCAGCGGCTCTCTGTTTCATGAATAATTCGGAAGAAAAACATGTAACATTCCTCCTATGAAATGAAGTCCGTATAATCAAACTGAGATTACAGAAGATTCACCTTTTCCGAAGAGAGAACACTAGATTTCATGACACACAAAATCCCTGCTGGTGTTCAGGTAATTTCGTTAAACAAAAATAACAAACTTTATCCTCGATGAGAATTGATCTGTTCCATGTCTTCCGGTATATGATGCCGTGTAGTTTTGTAGACGGCTATAAACATTTCGGAGTAACCTGCCGCCTACACTGAAGATGGAGGCAACAGGTTCTGTGAAGCATTGGTAACTGCCTACCCCAGTACACGGTGTCACATCCCAGAAGACAGTAACCTTCACAGGTACCGATAACCTCAAAAATCACACGATAGGTTATTCGCCATACACACATCACTTCTTTTAATACGTAACAGAGTAATCTTTGAAACATTTTCACACTGAAACTTGAGTATCACTGACATCTTCCCCTGGCAGGTTGTAATATTGCTCTATGCGTTCGAATGTCAAAGTCGTACACTGTACGTGAAACCATATACCTCCGGCTGATATCTATTAAACAAGCCCATTTATCACACTCTGAATTTTCATACGCACACATCCTTATTACAGGTCCTTCGCGCCAAGACGTACACAACGATGCGCTCCTCGACAGTCTGTTGTTTGGAGTGCGTTCATTATGGTTCATTATTAAGGCATGGCAAAGATTGAATGTGACCAAAAGTGGGTGCGTTTAATTAGTTATCGTATGTTTCGTTGGCGAAGAGGCAGGGAATGCCTAGGGAGAGGTCAATAATGTTTACTTTTGAATGGAAATGAAGTACTTTATGATCGGACACAACCTCAGAACGTTACCATTCGAAACGCGGCTTAAATACGAGTATCTGGAGTCGGCCTCATTCAACTTTCACATGTTCCATTGTACATACGCGAAATGAAAGCAATTAACACGATTAACAGGGATCGCCGGCTCAGAATTGTCAAAATGTTTATTTCTGTTTCTTCATTTTATTCCATTCTCTGCCCCCTTCCCCTTCTATTAATATAGTCTATATAGGTTATGTTATCTTAATGGAATAGCGTCAAGAAAAGAAAACTACGGATAAGACATATTTTTTAAACTTAACAGGATTGTGTAAAGGTAACGCTATACAAACACTAGGTTCGAATCTCGCCCGCATTGTTGATTATCCTGCAGTTTATTGGAGTTCTTCTTAGTCTGATCACTCGAATGGTGAAAATACCTTCAAATAGGATACAACATCGTCCTTCCAGATCCTGTATTATCTCATCTTGTTTCTCGATGCATACCTTTTGCAGTTGATATATAAAGTTGAATCTCTCAGAGTGTAGCTCAGGCGATTAGGCGCTGGCTTATCACTGTGAAGCCTCGGTCTCAATCCCGGGTGATTTCATATGAGATTTATGGTGGACGAAGTAGTACTGCTGAAGGTTTCTGAGTATCTTTGATATTCTCATATTAATTATAATCTCGTCATTGCTCCATGCTAATCTGTCACGGCCCACCTGGAGTATGGTATAGATCTGATCAAGCAGAACATTATCAAAACTTCTGTCTTTGAATTGGAGGCGTTATCTCTGACCCGGCACTAGGTTTGTCATGGAGTAAGGAAGTTAGTTGGTATATGTTTTGTTGGAAGAACTGTACCTCCGCCTCGGTTACAAGAGCTGAAAATACGTAACATATTTTGCGTTTGTTAGATCTGAGGTTCTCACAGCAGTGACTATGAAGAGCATTATATTCTGGGACGTGATGCCGTGTAGTCTGGTAGAAGCGACACCTCACATCTCTATAAAGACTCTACTTCCTGCATTTGATTTCCATATTCAGGCTAACAGTAATGCACCTTAAAAATTACATTAATCCTTATATTTTTTAGAAGAATTTCACGCACGAATACAATAAATAATCAATAATAACAGGGACATGCGGTAGCGTAGTTGAGTCAGGCACTATGCTACAAAACCGGAAGGTCTCGGGTTCGATTCTCGATGAGGTCATTGGATTTTTCAAATGATCTAATCCTTCCAGCCGCACTATGGCCCTGGGGTCGACTCAACTTCTAACAGAAATGAGTACCAGGGATCTTCCTGGGGGTAAAGGGCGGCCGGGGCGTAAGGCTGACAAACTTACTTCTATCTGTGAGCCGATTGTCTAGAAAATGTGGGAGCCTCGACGTCTCACAACCCTATGGACCTCCACGGCCTGTTACAGGGATAGCCTTACTTTTCCCTTGAGTTATTTTAGACGGTTTCTGTATCCAAGGGTACAGAGCTTCGAATGGTAAAACGACCGATAAACTGTAGAGGATTTGGAAGGAAAAGGCAGTGGCCTAATCAAGGTACTATCCCACTATTCGCTTGTAGGAATTGAAGAAAATCACGAAAACACTTACTCAAGATAGCCGGTGTCTCAAGCAAGTATGCAGAATGTCACCATCAGAGCAACCTTCCCGGTGCCATTAATGGTACAAGGCCGTGTGCACGATATGACACAGATCAAATTAAATTTCAAGGGCTATATAAAACGACAGGCAGGCGGTTAGAACCATGCACAGGGCCAGTCCCCTGAACAGGGAACACTTGCTAATGTTATGGTTCTTCATGTTGATGACTATGAAGGTATAACCTGCCTAGTCTTCAGGACAGAAGAGTATGCTTCTGCAGGAGATGGTAGCAGAAGGCTCCTCAGACACGGTCATAACTATCTACCAGACTTCACGGTTTCGTATCCCAGAACACATCAATCTTATATGTTTCTAGACATTATCCAGAATCCGGTCTCCGAATTGTCCCCCCAAAGGTGTCTCCGCCTTGTCGTGGTGGTGGGGCTTGCGTGACTCCGTGACTATCGGTAGGGTTACCCACGCTGGAAAAGTCAAATGGTAGAGTCCAGACTAAGAGACATACCCTGGTCCTCCAGGTTGGGGGTTGGGCATGAAGCTAACCTCATCCTGTAAAAAGAATTTTGTTCAGAAACCTAACAACCAGCCAGTGCAGCACGCATTGGTTGTGATGACTGGTTGTAGAGGAGGCCAAGGCTCACCCAGGGCTGTAGCGCCGAGTGGTAGGTAGCCCCCGAAAATTTGTGTTTTTAAATAGAACCAGGACGAATGTCCTGAAACATAATATTTGTATTAATGTACCATCATCACAAACTTTTAGATCTCGTTTGGTGATTTTCACATAGAATATACATTAAGTCAAGACTATATTAAGTTTATTAAGATCGTTTATCGTAACCCAACCAAGACGCCGGTCATGGTAGCCGAGCGGTCTAAGACATGCACTGTATTAGCTCTCTCGGAAGCAGGGATCGTGGGTTTGAATCTCACTCAGGGCATGGATGTTCGGTGTTTGTGTACAGGTACAGGCATTGCCACGATCTGATCCCCCGCCCAAGGAGTTCTACCGAATGTCTACTTCTTCTTCTATGGCGCAACAGCCCAATATTGGGCCTTGGCATCCCTTATCAAGCCCCTCCATACCGAATGTCTAAGATCTAGTAAAGCGAAGTGAAACGGAGAGTTTCATGGAGGCAGGTCAAGGCCTAAATTGGGGCTGTAGCGCTAAAGGGGGTGGGGGAAAAGTGTTCTAACTATTGTGTAAAATTCTCAGAATTACTGGGGTTTTGGACTTTGTCCATCGTCCAATGACAGAGTAGATGTCTCCTACTGACATGAGGACCTGGCACTGTGACTGAGGTTAGCTCTTTCTAAGGGACCCAACAGAGTAGGTGTCTCCCTCCACATGAGGACCTGGCCCTGTGATTGAGGTTAGCTCTTTCTAAGGGACCCAACAGAGTAGGTGTCTCCCCCTCCCTCACCTGAGGACAGAAACAGGTTCAGTTCCGAAACTTTGTGTTCTCTAGTATTTTTTAGAATAACGGACGATGGAGAAAGTAAAAAAATCCAGTAATTCTGTGTCAATCAAGACTAAGTTCGTAAAACATAAGAATTAAAACTACAAGAGATAACCAGAAGCATATGAGAGTTTGTCTGGTACATTTCAGAGGATGACTGCCGATATCCGGATCAAGTGAGATTCTTATTACATCAGGAGGGCCTCAGATGCACGAGGAATCCATACTCAGCCGACAGTGACACAGACGTCGCACCTCGGTCAAATTCGGACCTCACTCTACACGTGATTCTCCAAACCGTTTCACTCGTACTGATTTCTAAGTTAATAGCAAGGTTCTAAGCTAGTTATGCCAGGCTAAAACATCCAAACTTCAAGAAATATTATGATAATATTTACACTGCATAATAAAGCGCTGATTTTGCTAGGCAGACATATATATGGTTCTATTTATGAAATAATCTCTCCCCATTATTTGTGTGCATTCATAGAATCCAAACCATCTATGTTATGTGGTTAAGAACCAAGCAATATTAGGTATAGAATGAGTAAATGAAAAGCAGATAAAATTAGGCTATCTTTTAAATTTTAAGTGAGAAAAAATGTTGAGATTGCAGACCAGTCTGTCCTGTAACAACTAAACGCAACCTTTTTGAGAAGCCGCTGGTCCCTATCCTGAGCCAGACCATCCTATCTCTCTAAGATCCTTTTTAATAAAATTTCTTTATTAAAACCGTCACAACACAACTATAAATAAAGAAACTGTATATTATAACACAACAGGATGCATGAAATGAAAATTAATCCATTTTAATATCGTCCACCCACCTACGCCTTGGTCTTCCCAGTGGTCTCTTTCCTTCTATCTTCCTTACCAATATCCTATACGCATTCCTCTTCTCCCCCAACGCAACCTTATAAACAGAAAAAATGTTTATAATTTATGGACGAAACATGTCGTAAGAATGTTACCTGTTTTAAGTAAATCTTGTGAAAGATAGATCTGCCCCGACACATCCGGGTAATGTTTTGTGGCAGATGAAGTGTCGTTTAAACGTCCCGAATTGTGTAAAGATAAGGTAAAACTAATTAAGCACTAAGCCATGAAGGCGTGTGGGGGAGTGGATATATAGATCCACATTTTCTTGACCTCGGCACTAGTTGGAGGTGAGTGGTCAGCTTCACGCCCCGGTACCCACTGTATAGGAGGCTGGGTGGACCCCAGGGCCGGAGAAAATTCTTTACCCCACCGGGACTCGAACTCCGATCCCTCGGCCATCCAGCCCGTAGCCAGTCGTTATACTGACTGCGCTATTGTGCAAGTCTGTAAAATACCTTCACGTAATCCTCTGAGATATAACGGTTTTATAAAGGAAATAATTTCCATTGTTAAGCGTCGGTAACTAATCCCGTTCCTTCAATCCTTTTCATGACCCTTGATGGGGGAAAAGCATTTCGACTCTTTATCAGTAGGTTGGACTGTCTTACCTGAGAATATCATAAAAATTGTGTAAGTCTTTGATGTAGAGGAACAAACAAAATCAGTTCATCTTGCATACAACATTAAAGGGACATATTACTTATGCAGAATTTAGCTTAGTTTTCCTTGTATGAAGGAACGAAGGTGTCCATGCATACTCAACTTTGGTATTAGGAGGAGGACAGAGACCAGCTTCAAGCCTCGGCCGCTTTACCCCAGGGGAAAAAGCACCCGATACCCACTGTGTAGGAGGCTGGGTGGGTTCCAACGTCGGCCTGGACGCTGTGGAAAACAGAAAAATCTTTTACACCTACCAGGAATCGAACCATGATTCCTCAGTCACCAAGTCCATAGCTATTAACACATGCTCTTCAGTTCCGAAACGCAGAAGTTCGTTTTGCCATCATAGTCTACAGTCGGACTTTGTCTTGAACCAATTCAGTAAAGGCCACGTCCTCATAACCTACTTTCTAAGATAGATTTTAATATTATCATATCACACAGCCCAAATCTCGCAAGAGGGCTCTTACACAGTAGAATCTAAGCATACAGCACATAATTAATAATGTAATATTGCATATGTAGAGTAACTCTGACATTTTTAAGCGGCGTCAGGCTGTCTTATGATTTCTCACGTTACATCAAAGATAGTACAGGTCACGGAAAAACAGATTCGACCCAATGAACTTTTAATCTTAGTGCAATTGGGTCATTTGTGATAAGCAAATACACTTAACATGTGTTTCAATTTGATCCTGGTGGCTCTCAAATGACCTGAACATTCACTGTAAATATGGACTGAAAATCCTGACTGTAGATCAAAGTTCCCTTTGTGCGTGTACATACATTGTTAAAGCAGCGGCCTCCGTAGTCTAGAGGTAACGTTCCCACCTCATGACTCGTAGTACGCGGGTTCAAATACCCGGCGGAGGTCGTCGAATTTTTAAGGGCGGAAAAATTCAGGGAACAAGTCCTCCGGGAGGGACTTTAAGCCGTGGGTCCCGTGTCGTAGCTTTACGGCACGTAAAAGAACCTCATCTCCAAAGGAGGTCACTGAGCCAAATTAACGGACGTTTCCCGCCCAACAGTAGTCTCTAATACCTCTGGTAGATGGGGGAAGCATTATAGATACCTCTCAGCTAGTAGACCCGGTCTCGCTGCCTGGGCGGGACTGATGGTAAGCACCAGTACCAGTAGGATATAGAGACTGGTAGAAATCATAGAGGGAAGCACAATGGACCAATACAGGTCTCAGTGCATGGGGAAACCCACCCTCTCCAATAACTAACTACATTGTTAAAGCAAAGCAGAAAGCTGTGTGTCAGTTACACATGTAACAGCTTCGAAAAAAATTAGGTTTTTGGGATTTTGCATCCAGTATTGTTCTCAATATTTATTTACTTCTGAAACAAATATATTATACAAGTGGAAAGGATGACCTCTGACCGTGTACAATAGCAAAAACCTACTGTTACAATTCTACACGAAGACATGGATGAAACAGTTCGGTTAACCTCAAAATGAAAATCTGGCTCAGTGTCACAGAAGATGAAGGCGAAGTTGAAGCAGTGTATGAAGAAGAAGACAAAAAGATCGTTGACAGTTAATCGATGATAGAAATATTTTACTGCATATTGGGATAAAGGATTCCTTTCATCGCATTCTTTGAAGCAAGATGTTCAGCTGCATAAGATTTAAACATTTCGTTCGTACCTCACAGGAAACATTAAAAATAATTTAAGAGACTTCCAGTATATGTTATGATCCCGAACTTCATCACAATCTTCTCTAGAAATCAATGAATCATCATTTTTGTTATTACATGTCTCTGAGGTCATTTTATACATCTGACGCTATTTTAAAATACTTAACTGAGCCTTGACTCTTACAGTTTGATGTCCCAATACTGAACCTTGAATCTCAGTGTGGTGGACAGAAGTTCTAACTAGTTTACATCATACAGTGATGAACTGTTTTTATCTGGTTATTTAAAAAATGGAAGAGCACTTATTAATTTATTTGCTTTTTCTTCTGTGGCATAATCATGTATTACATACTCAAACTACTGACATAATTAAGTCCTCCATTAGACACATATTAATATAAATATTTCCTCTACTTAGCCCATTAATGGGTTTAAAGATGACTCAAGTGTATTTATTATTTACAAATGACCCACAATTAAAATGTAATAAAAAACTAAAATTAACTTATGACGGCTCTGAGGTTCTCACGGCAATGACTGTAAAGAGCACGGTCTTTTGAGTTGCAACGCCATGTAGAGCTCAACGTTTCGGAGGAACATATTACCTCCAGCTTCAGGGTTAAAGAGCAAACTATCAAGAAGCAAGTGGCAATCAGTGCTGGTTACCTGTTTGGCTCACTCTTTGATCCTGAACATGGAGGCAGCACATTCCTCCAAAATATCAATGAAACTTTACCAGACTACACGACATCACATCACAGAATATAGCATTCTTGGTTCGAACTTATGTTTTAAGAAAATGTTTTGTTATAAAATCATTAAGAAAGGTATAATTTATTTGCATGCGAGAACGTAACGAGCTGAGAAGCCGACAGTTGCTCAGCTACACTGACGCTGATCATTCTGAGCCCTTATTATTTGGATGACCATGAAATTTATTTCTAATTAATTCTCGGTAATTTTAATTTCAAAAGTCTTATGTTTCGATATTTCTGGAAATGTATTGTGATCTTTAATATCGTATTTCACTGTCTGGGACGTGAAATACGGTGTTTACGTTAAATATTTCTAGATTCTGGCAGAAACAAGAAGTCCGGAGTTATAACATTTACGATGTCATAAATTTAGCTCGGGTACAGGGAACCGGACGCGCCTAAAAGGACAGGTCAGAGCTTGTTACAATTGCCTGTGAATGAGGGCCAGTATGATTGGGTTGCCTCGTTCAAGCTTCCCACGGAAGATGGGATGAAATGTATATGAAAACACCATCTTTCGAATTCCCGGCGTGGGGGTGCAAGCCATTCCACAAAAGGAGAGACTTTCATTATATTCCGAACTGAACGGACGTGACCTTTGCACGCTCCGAGACATAGGTTGCCGATAGTAACGCGGTAACGTAAAGCTAAGAATACATTAATTTAACAGTGTGGTGAATTAGCAGGTGAATAAACGTCAATTGGCTCAACTCTCAGAAAAACGCTTTCTTCGGCATCGCTACCCTGAGACTCAAGCAAACCGACCCAGCTAGTTTCCCGTACCTATACCGATCTTCCTTAGTTTGATCTGTGAGGACAACTTCCAGTAGCCATCATACACTGTCCTAAGGTAGAAACAGGTGTAGCAGGGATAGCACCATTCCGACTGCGCCGATACAAGCAAAGGCGGGTTGGAAAAGAGCGGTTTTAACACAAGAAATCCCCAACACTTTATGGAACCCCAATGTTCCTTACAGTGTCCACAAGAGCCCGCCACTGGTCTCTATCCTGAGCCAGAAATTATTTTCAAAGTTTCGATCTAGGGTCTCACAAATCACCCTCCTTGCCCTATAGTAAATCCAGCATTTAGAAGCCACGGTACTCGTGTCTCGCAGCCATTCACTTGCAACGGTTCTACTGGTACAAAGTTACATTTTCTGTCCGTCTTACGTGTATATTGGGTTGTAATGTAATTATACTCTTCCTATATGAAGAAAGTCAAATCAATTCACATGCTTGCATAAAAAGTTTCAAATTTACTTTAATAACAATATATACCCTTTTTTTTAAATTATCAGCTCTAACATCTACTGAAATACAGTTTCCTGTTAATTCACGTGGTCAGTCCTGTAGACGTTGCGATGCGGCAAATATAAATTTTATTTATTGATTTACTAATGTGCTATTTAACGTTGCTGCCAACAGCAAATGATAAACGATGTCATGACCCACAATTCTCAGCATTTACTGTCTGAAAATGATTATATAATGTGAATTATATTGTAACACTCGTAACTGTTTCCTGACACTGAATCATACAATTACAAAAGCCTCCAACCCAACTTAGCGTTGTGGTCCCTAGGGCTGGCGCGCAGGAATGATCAGCTGGTTCATTTGAAGTCTGTGCCCCATCCATGTTAATTCAGCTCTTGGCGGGCAGCTTACTGACGTTTCGGAGGTATATGCTGCTTTCATCTTCAGGGTTGAAATGTGTGGGATGGGCGAGTTTCAGTGTATATATATATATATGTT